CTTTGGAACTGTGTCCTGTGTATTGTATCTGCCAGCTGCTTTTTGCACCCCACGTGCTATACGGGTGGCTCTATGCTACGGTGAACTCTGGCGCTCTCCTGGGGAATAACTCAGGTAGTGACCAATTAAACATCACAAATAAAATAAACAACCAAACAAACAAATAAATAGGATAAAAATAAATAAATAAATAAACAGAACTAAAATAGGATTTGTCAGTTGTTTGCCAGTGCCATTCTTCCTGGCAGCCGGGGAAGGTGGCAGAGCAGGGAGCTCCAGTCCCGGGCCCTGTCCCTGCAGACCACGGGTTGGTGGCATGGAGTGAACACTCCTGTCATGGCCCTACTTTCCTGGCCATGGCTCCACCTGCCTGTTCCCAGCAGGAAGCTCCCGTTAGGGAGGCAGCCTGCAGCAGAGACACGGAGGTGGCGGGCCCAGCCCGGGAGGCCGCGGGTTAGGCAGAGGGCACGCGCCCGTGCGGGCTGCCTCAGGGTTTCCAGCACGGGGCCAGTCTCCAGAGTCATCGGTGGAAAAAGTTTTGCTTTGTTAGCCTGATTCTTAAATTTCAGAGGACAACTGTTGTTTTCAGAACACCTGACATTGAAGGATCAGGTCATAAAATTGCACTCATACCCATGAAGATGGAAGGCAATATTAGTCGAGTACCATGAAAACCATGAATATTCATTAGATCTCTCATCATGATGATGATTAATACCCTTAAAGCTATAAATGTCTGAACTCTTTTATGGACAATTGAGCTTGAGAGTGGTTTATTTTAGTTTGTCTACATGAGAAATTAATTTTTGACATGATAATTAACACTAGTATTGACTTCAAGTTTATCAGAATACAAATTGTATCTACCCAATAAGAGCTTACAGATATTTAGCTCAGATCACATCCCTGAATTATTTTGCTAATAGACATTCTTGAGTCAGGGAAATCTCTCTCTTCTCTCTCTCTCTCTCTCTCTCTCCATCCTGGTGCAGATCCAACCAAACGAGTGTGTGTTTATGGGGCAGAGTTATGTAGAGGGTGAGAACATGGCTCAAGAATCAACCCACAGCTAAACGTTCTGGCATTACAACCTCGGGCAAATCAGTTTTAACTTTTCACCTTCTCCAAAACAGGAGAAATACTACCCTCCAGGTATACTGTGAAGATTAGTAGGGATTATAATAATCAGTTTATTAATGGTCAGGGACTATAAAAATATGAGGAATAAATATATGTATATGTATCTTTGTCATAATTATAAAAATTACAAATGTATTCCTTCATCTTCATACGAAATTTATATTTTGCGTTGAATTTTAAATTGATTCATTGTACAGTAAGATAAATCTTGGGTTTAGGACAGGAGATGACTTTAAAATAAAATGTGTTTTTTGTTTGCTTGTTTTTTCTTTACAGGCCAACAGAGCAATAAGCACCATTGGGTTTGTGGCAGCTGCTGCTGGTGCCTTCTCATTCCTGGGCTTGTTTTCAAAGAGACAAAAGGCAAAATACTATTAACAATTTACTGAAGAGATATTGGAACAGAAGGAATATATGAGGAGGAGAAAAAGAATACCTGGGATGAATACTTATTTTCAATGCATCATTATTGTTTCAAACGCCAATGACGGAAAGCGGGCTCTTTAATAAATTGCTTACTGATATTATCTCATCATTGAGCCAAAGAAATTGTGCTCCCCGCAAGCATACATTTTCTGTGGCAGCTTGAACAAGAAGCAGCAACCTTTTGAGTGAGCCAGCAGAGGATCTTAACAAAATCACATTACATTTTATCTTCTACTATAAATATTATTTTCCTTTTCCCTGAGGGTGGCTATTTTGTATTTCCCAGAGGGAAGAAGAGCAGATTATATGTGATTTTGAAAAAAAAAGATAAGAGCTCAAAATTGGTAGGGTTGACATCTAAATTCATACTCCTGGTCAGAAAAGAAATTAGGAAATTCGGCATTTGGTGAGGCAGTTTGAAGAATTTTTCTTAACAAGCTGTTTGAGGGTGCACACCCATCTCCTTGCTCCTGTGCATGTGGGCAGTGGGGAAGGATGGGTGGGTAAAGGGGCTCTTTGCTCTAGTGTTTCAGATCCAGTGATTTTCCTGGAAACCTCTCATTTATCAGAAGTCCCTAACAAGCAAGAATAGACTGTTACTTTTACCCATATTGTTTCCTTTGGATTTTGAAGTATTTCAAGGGTTTTAACCTTAGAAAGAGATCATTAAATTATGTTTCAGGTGCCATTTTTAGAAAATCATATCCCATATTACTTTTTAGGGCTTTTACTGGAAGTCAAGGAGAGTTGTGATTTTATTCTTGCATTTTATTGATTATGTGTTGAATGAAACAAACTACTCTTTAATGTCTTTCCAGTGGAATTCTTGTTGACAGTAGGTGGTAAAAAATGGTTGCAGTCTCTATACTTTAAGATTTTATCAGACATTATAGCATTACCCTATGAAACACACTAGCAACCAGGGACATACTTCCTGTGATGACATTAAAAGCATGGCATGAAGTAAAAGAAATGTTCAAGTAAATATTGAGGGAGGGTGTGCAATGAAGGAACTAGGCACATGGTACATAAAGTGACTAAAGAGAAGACTCAGTGAAAGACTTGGACCTATTAAACTGATTCAGATTTTGTCCCAGGGCCAAAAACACTCTACAGTCTAGAGGCAGGGTTAATAATGTTAACAGAAGGGATCAGGTACTGCGGTCAGTGTCAGTAGAGACCTTATCTCTCTCTCTTCCTTGTTCCCTGACATCCCTTCCCTTTCTTATGGCGCCAACTCTGCCTCCAGATAACCCCAAATTCTCTCTTCCTCCCCTGGACCGTCAGGTAGGCATGGTTGTCTCCTACCAGATACTATGATCCAATAATACCCCTTCAATTTTATTCTAAATTTACTTTTCTGTTTCTTCTATGTCCTGCTCTCCAGAATAGTTTGGGCAGTGGCGGGGGGGCGGGGGACGGGGGGGAGGCACGGGGAAGTGAGCACTTCTCTAATGTCATCAAATTAGAGTGAGATTGGTGGGAGTTTAATGTGTTGCTTCTCCCAAGACGTGTATACCTTTTAATAAAGGTGACTTTGGAGGGAGTCCAACATAGGCGGATGGGAAAGGGAGCAGAACGGAGGTCAGACCTTCTGAGAATCTTCCTTCAAAGCCAAATCTTTCTAAAGAACTCTGGACTTCACTCTGGACGACAGTCCTCACTATGCTAAGTAATGGCACAATGCGCTTTTAAGTTAAGTTCATGGATTACTTTTTCACCTACTGTTCAAGACTCCAGTAATTTTCAGCCTTAAAGGTAAGCTCGCACAGCTAGTCATCAATGCTCCCATAAGAATGGCCACTGTTGTTGATGGCAGCCCAAGATGGAAAGTTTGCCTCCCCTTGGTGACCGGCCATGCTCATTGTGCTTTTATTAAATGTTTTACTCGGAGCATATTTTTTAGCAAAGTAGAGAATTCAACTTTATCATGTTCCACCTCCAAAAACGTGTGTGAAATAAAGATTATCACCTATCAGATACTAAACAAATTGTTGGATAAACGGGGGGCGGGGGGGGCGACGGGGAGTATACATTTCTTAAATCAAGATTTTTAAAAACGTTTTTATGCTATCTAAATGTTACAGTGTATCAATTGAATCTTCTTGCTTTAAAGGTCAAATTACTATATACAGACATGACATGTTGCTCAAGGAACCCAAGTTACCATAGTTATATGTTGACATAATGTTATCTAATCATAAGCTAAATATATTTTATCATTTTATTCTTTATTAGTATCCATTGAATTAGACACATTTTTAAAGTTACCATTCTCCAAGAGCTGTGCTCCAAAGAAAAGGTTAAAAAGCAAACAAAATATAAACACAGAGGGTTTGTTTTTATAGAAATTTGCATTTACGCTGCTGGTTTGTATAACCAAGTATATAATCCTATTTATAGAAAAAAATTGATAAAATGTTAAGAATTTTTTTCAATTCTAAAGGTTTCAGAATTGTAAATGCATTATTGGATCCATACACTGTGGTGTTAGGCACATGACTGACACTCACAGAATGGGATTTGTTACCTAATTGCCTATGTACTGTTGCAGATTTGTTAAGTTAGCAAAATAGATTCATTGTTACAAGTAAAGCCTAGTAGATAATCTGTTTACAAGGAATAAATGTCCTCTCAAGGTCACAATGGGGTTGATAAATACTGAAAGTAATAGTGTCCACAATATGTTTATCAAGGGTATACCCTTTCTAGCTGGTTGTTAATGTGACTCTAATAACTGATTTAGATAATGAAAAGATGGGATGAAATTTAAGATTGCTTAGTAGCCTGATAATTATCACACTTCAGATACAAATATTATGGGTCCAACCCTAGGATTGCTTTTTTAAGATAAGCAATGCAGAGTGGGGGCCAACTTTTAGAGTAAAACAAACGAACAAAAAACTTTGAGTGTTTCACCTGTCAGTAATAACGAGCAAACAAAGGTGCTATACTTCTTTAAGATAAGAGTACAGTTTAATAGTTTATTTTATTACCTTTGTGATCTACTCTGAACCTAGCTCATTGGCCCCAAAACAAAATGCTTTGGGAGGTGCCATCTTGGCAGAGTTTGCTTATATGCTTGCTGCCGTGCCCAAGCCAAGATCATATGTGATAAACAGAAACCTCCAGCACTCGCCGCTCCCACTCAGCTCTGGCTCACTACAGTGAGAGCTGAATTTTCTGAAGTAAATGCCAATTCTTGCTTCTTTCTTACAATTGGACAAAAGGGGCAAAAGAGAGGAATTTAGTGACCTTGAAAAACATGTACATAAATGTTCTTCACAAGTGAATACAGGGTTGTGTAAACGTGACATTTATTGAGAAAAGGAATTTTTTTCCAAGTTCTCTTATTTCTGTAGATGAAAATGAAAAAATCTGTGAAACTTTCAAAGGCAAAATTCTTCTTCAATTTTCCTTTTATTGATGTTCATACTATTAGTTTCACTACTGTGAAAAGGTGTACATTTTAACCAGGATAATGCTATGTAATGTGAATAAAGTTGATGAAAAAATGATAATCCAGGCAATGTATTTTTTCCTCAATAGTAGAGGATAGTCATATTTAAGGTCCTTTGTTGCATAGCTCAATATACTGAAAAATGTGCTTTGAGTCGTCAGCTGGAGAGAGAAAAGGAAAGGGTAACCTACCATCACCTCTCCACAGTGCTTTAGGCGGGGGAAGAGGGGCTGTTAACCATGTACAACGACAATTCTGATTACAGCCTGGTCCAAAAATGCTGTTCTGTGGTTTGGCCTCCGCAGCTGGGTTTTCCCTTTGGAATCTGTTCAGGGCTTTCGTAGCCTTGGTTGATGTATAATCCATTTTTGCCATCGCCCGAATAATCTGTCCTGTTTGTGGGAGGCCAGGTAGGGTCTTCTGCCAGCTTCTTTTGCCAGTTCCTGTACTGGCTTTTCGAAAAGAATCCAAATGCTTTTTTGATCACTAGCCAGAGCTCTCGATTTTGAAGGATGGCATCCTGGAAAATCAGGTGGGAAAACAAATCATCATCTGCCTCTCCTGTTGCCTGGTTGCTATCACCACGCTCTATATTCCCCCAGGCCGTCCCCTGAGATGTGCTTATTGCTGCTGCTGCTGGGGGAACTGGGGGAACCTCTCCTCCCGCCGATCCCCATGAAGCCTCACAGCTCCCCCTCTTTCCCTTGAGAATCAAGAGTGTACTCGTGTTCACAGAAATCTGCTGCAAGTGTACAGCCTGTCATTTCCACAGACTCCTAGCTAAACCCTGGCTGATGATTCACTTAGAATTACGTTACTGCCAGACTGAAATGATAACTAGTTACTGTACTCAATGTACTCAAAAGCAAGAAAAGAAAAAAGAATCGTTGCTACCTTCCACATGCCACATAGAAGGTGCCAAATAAAGGCTCTTTGAATGAATAGATGAACTCTAGCAATCAAATGGGTTTTGTTCTCCATTTTGTGGGCTCTTTTTTTTTTTCTATGTTCACGTGCGCACAATTTTTACATTTATAATAGAATTGGTCAAATTTTGCATTCTACTTTTGTTTATACTAGACTTTCATATACAATTTATAGCTACAGTCTTCTTAATAATTCTTTTTAATGACTGTATAACATTTTTTCAAATTGCTATACAGCTATTTAAGCAAACAGCATCTTTACTTTCGAACACCTGAGTCTCATATTTTACCACTGTAGGTAATACTATGAAAATACCTTCATACATATAAGTTTTTTCTCTTATTTGGGCTTTATTAAAAATATAGTCTCAAAAATAAAATTCCTCTATTAAAGAGTATGAGAAATTTTATACTGACTGTATTCAATGGAATATTTGGGTGTGCATATATATATTTTTAAATTTGGTCGATCACCTTTCTCAACAGACTTATATAAATCTTTTTAAAACTGTCATTTTAAAAAAATAGTACCCAAAGCTTTCACTGAATGGGTAAAGTGATTTAGTGGCACTAAGTAGGAGAGAAACACTATAGGAGAAGACCATCGAGGGTGAGAATTGACTAGAATGAGCAATGGCTTCCCTCCTCTCGTAATTAAGGAAGCCCTTCTGAAGCAGTCCTTCACTTTTAATGGTCTCATTGAATTTGAGAGCTGGGAGGTTACCTGGTCTAGTCTCTAAGAGAATATTGAGAACACTAGAAAAGCACAACACAGGGCTTTCACGGGAGGCAAAGTTAGAATCAATTTGATGTTTTGCTCTCTATGCTGCATATACTGAGAGCATTTTATGCAGCCTTCAAAGAGTTTTAAATCGTCCTCCAGAGAATTTCCCCCCCAGGGTACATGTCCAGCTTTTATAAACCCTTAATAACTATCACTGTTGGGGAGAACAGTCTTTGCCCTAAAAAATGAGCATCTGTGGAGAACGAGAGCCTTTCTTTGTTTAGCTCCCCAGAAGGATAGGAGGAACCATGCAGAAATCACTTTACCTCCACAAAGAAGGCCACACAGAACTGGACGAAGGCTGCCCCCAGAACTGAAACCCTCCACGATGTTATGGTTGGAATGAACTGTGAAAAAGGAAACACTGCTGTTACGCTTTTCATATCTTACACTTTGAAAAATCGTATCATCCTATCTAATTTATATATTTGTAACAATTCCCTGAGCTTGGAGGGTAAGCATTATTTTCACCACTTTACAGATGAGAAGGCCAGTACCTGGCCCAAGGCCTCAAAGCCAATAAATAAAAGGCAGAGGCAGAACTCAAACGAGAACTGTCTCGTGTCCAATGCTCCTCCCTTGCCTGTTGATAGACATTGAGTAAATGTGCCTTGGGTTGCAGAGACAAGACAAGACACTTTGGAGCCTATGTGTCTCTTTCCATTTTTATCTTTTTAGATAGAGGGAAGGGGGTATAAGTTTAAATCATTCACCTAATATTATTATCACTTCTAATTCTCCCAAAGCAAAATCTACTTGAAATTCATTCTTTCAGTAAAAATTAACCTACGAGTAAACATAAAGGGGGGGCAAAAGTTCAAGTTTACTTTAACTGAAACGAAGGAAACTTTTCCTGAACAAATCTTCCCAGCCCAAAATCCAGTGGCTTGATGAAAGTCAAACCCACCCAACCCACCTTCTTTCAAGTATTAAAGGGTACATATTGCATGTTCACCACCAACTATACTTATTATTAATGAGTGTGAGAGCCACAGCTTCCCAAGGCTGCATCCATAACAAACACACACACACACACACACACACACACACACACACACACACACACACGCTGCACAGCCCCATTTCCGAGTCTAAATGGTAAACTGTGGATGACAGTGTAGAGGACTGAGCTGCCTTTGGGACTAAAACTGCAGGTCCTCCACATTGTCTAAATGCTCACCTTTAATTCTCATCTCTATTCTGATATGAGTTATTTCAAAGTAAAAGTTTGTTATTTTTCCCCTAAGTGGAGACAGACAGCCTTTCTCTGGGTTGTGGAACAGAGCACACTGAGGGCAAGGGTTGTCTGGAGAGGCTGTAAGACATGGCAGTAGGTCAGATCATGGTGGAAGTCAAGGGTCAAGTCTTCTTTTTTATTTCTCCCACAATGCTGGGTCCAAGAACAAGTTCACTAACCTCTTAATAAATTTAATTTTAACCCACTGCACCATGTATCAAATGCTGTCCACTGAAATAAAACTCTCTACAGTCAATATCTGACAGAAAAATGACTGGCCCATAAGTCTACTTTTTCTTACTCCTTGCAACTACATTATGAAGGATTTCTACTATATATTTAAAAAAATAAACTTGAAGAATTAATTAATGTATTAAAACATAAAATTTATTACATTAATAGAATAAAGTATCCAGACATAATATTTCAGGTGTGAATAGGATAAATGTACCCAGTTGATAATACCAATAATATGAAAATAATCACAGCCTAGCATATGTGAGATCCAGCTTTGTTATTTGCTTTTCTAATAAGTGGAAATAGCCTCATAATATTCAGTGGTCAGAGAGACTATGATAGTAACAGAATTTCAAATTACAATGCAAATATGGTCCCATTGCACCTGTGAGTCATAACAGGTATGCAAACGAATTACCACTTACCTCCATTCCTTGGTATATAACTTCAAAATCAGAAAACAGAATGAAAACTGTGAGGCCCAAGGAAGATATCAGCAGAAATGAGAATACATCTGAAGAAAAAGCAAACATTATTTTTAGATGCTAAAGGAATGTTTCACATATTTTGGCACACATTGCAGAATCAATTATGTCTGTTGGGCAAATACTGGGTACATCTTCAGATGTTTTGAGATATCCTCATATGTTTTAAAATATGTTCTAATGTTTACAAGACAAAGGTGATATCTTAAAGTATTTCCTTGAAAGGCTGAGTGTAGAAAGATGCTAATAAATGTATTATAGTAACTTCCATAATGGAGCTACCTCAACGGAGGAGTCCCGAGAGGCTGGGATGTTCTTCCGTGACAAGCCCATGCAAATGGTCACTAAAGGGACCCTGAGCTTTATCACCTTGTATGTATTGAGTCATGCATACATCGACGAACAGTCCTCTAGGGAGCACCTCATTTTTCTTCATTGCTTACAGAATAAATCCAAGGATCTTTGCTTGATATCTAAGGCCTTCCACAACATAGTTTCAGTCAGCCTTCCTAAACTGATCTCCACTCTTCCTTATGTGCATAGGAAAGTTAACTCATATGCTTGCTGCTTCCACTAAGGCCCAGCACCTTCCAGCGTCTGGTCCTCCGTTCATAGAATAGCCTGTGTAGGTGATATTCCTCTTCTCTTCACAAGTTGCAATTTTGCAAAAAAGATACCAGTTTAAATATTATTTTATCTTTAAAGATTCCCCACTCTGCCCTGGCTGGTGCGGTTCAGTGAACTGAGCGCTGGCCTGTGAACCAGAGGGTCGCCGGTTTGATGCCCAGTCAGGGCACGTGCCTGGGTTACAGGCCAGGTCCCCAGTAGGGGGCATATGACAGGCAACCATACGTTGATGTTTCTCTCTCTTCCTCCTTTCCCTTCTCTAAAAAATAAATAAAATATTTTTTTTAAATAAAGATTCCCTAATCCCTCTTTACAAAATTTTATTTCATAGGGTGTCTATCATGATTGTTGCATTATCTTCATTTATGTATCACCACAAATAAATAGGGTTTGCTCAAGAATATGAAGATTAATATAATATTCTAGCAATAGGTCACAGGAGGAAAAAAAGCAAAATTATCTACGCAGGTGATGGGAAGGCATTTGATGAAATATATCTCCCAATCTGGATTTTTAAAACTCACTTTTAATTTATTGGTAATAGGAGGGTGTTTTCTTTACATGATGTAGCCCACTTTGAACCAATATTCCAAATTGTATTTACAAATGAAAGCTACTGGAAGTATTTTATGAAGGAGTAAAACTATCTGCTATTACCACTATTAATATTATTCTGGAAACTTTGGACTGTACACTAATACAAAAAATGTAAATAAACTATAAATAAAAATTTCAACTATGGGAAAGGGAGGAGAAAAATTATTACTTGCAGATGATAATTATATTTTAGAACATTCAAGAATCGAGGATTAATAGCAAAATTCAAGAAAGGGTTCTGGATAGAAAATTAATGTTAAACAACACTATACCTTTCACATGTATTAATGATAATCAGAAAACATGGAAAAAAGTCATTCACAATACAAACAAATATACAAAAAACATGGGATTAGTGTCTTAAATAAATGCATAGGCTCTATAGAGGAGAAAATGACAAATATTTACTGAGAGACATAAAAGAAAGCATAAATAAATGGAGAGACATGACATGTTCTTAAATGTGAAGTCTAAAGTGTGTAAACAAATAAATTTTTTGCAAAGGAGATTTTTAAAAAGCTTGACAGTTTTTTCTGGAGTCTACCTGGAAGAATGAATAAGAAAGAAAAGAATTGTTTTTAAAAGGAAGAATAATGAGGATACACTTAACCTGACTACATTTTAAAACTCATTATAAAACTATAAAGTAGAGTGATAGATCAAGAATAGGCTGGCATATCACTGAAACAGAAAAGATAGTATAGAGAAAAATAATTACATAAAAATTAATATATAGTATATAACATAAGAAATATAATATTAAAACTTGCATAAGTTATATATATAAAAAACTTAAATATATGTGAATATAGATATGATAATGACTATATTACATTCAGATGAGAAATGGGTGACCAAAAGGAATATTAAATAATAAAATCTGCTGGGAAAACTAGAGACTAATTGGATAAACTAGTTTGATCTCTACCTCAAATTATATCCCAAAATTAATATTGGATTTAAAAAAAATTAAAATAAATTTAAAAAGCTAAATACATGGTAATCTGATTTTGCAATGAGAAAAAGTTGTACACATAGGCAATGGAAAAAATCACAAAGGCATAAAGAGCTCACACTAATAAATAAGAAATATAACAGCAATCCAATAGGGAAAAAAATGAGCAAAAATGTATGTGAAATTCAGAGAGAAAGAAATGGCTAGTATGTTCATCCTCACGGCGATTAAAGAGATGCACAGAATGATTAACGTAAATTGCTCAATCACATAAAGCTAGTACGAGGTCAAGTTGTATTTGAATTGGAACGAAAGCCTTTTACAAGATATCTGGACTCATATGTAGGTGCTTAAAATCCTTCCTGATGACTCACAGTAGGACAGCACTCCTGTGATTCAGAAGTGTCTGTGTTTATCTGCAAACGAGCAGGTTTCTGCCATGGGCTCTGCCACCTACGAAAATGACCATTTAGCTCCCAGTTTCAGATCAGTGCAGTTGTTTCCCTCTCGGCCAGTCATTTCATCAGCGGTTGCAGCTCTGGGGAGGGGAGTGGAAGAAATGTTTTTTAAAACAAGTAAACTTCATATACTTACAGTTTGTGTAGATGGGTTTCCGAAATGGCTTTCCCTTAGAAAAGATAAATGCTACTGTGACACAGTTGATGGTGGTGATGGGCCACAGCGTGGTGCCCTCGAAGCTTAACACTGAACCGGGGCTCAGAGTTGCATTTCTCGTCCAGTTTCTTTCCAAACTCACATTTGCTGAGAAATCACTTTGGTTGTCCAGAAAGCACTCACTACAAAAGAATCAACAGCACGTATGGGACTATTTATTTTACTTTTATCTCGCTAGCGGAGAAAACTTAGTTTACTGCTACCACAGAACCTCCGTTTTCAAACTGTTCCAGCCAATAAATACCGTGACGTAAACCTCTTGCCATGTCAAAGCATAAATAAAATTCAGAAGAAGTCAAGATTGTTCGTTATCCAGCATTCCATTTAGAACAAGTGATCTGTTTTGTAAGGTCTTGAATAAGCAATTTCTATGGCATTCCTTTCAGTTCAGAGTGTTTTCTCTTTCATGGACGAATGCAAGCCTCACAACTTGGGTCCTGATTTTGAATCTGCCCATTCTAAGCCACTCTCCTCACACAACCAAGGCTCCTCTTGAGGATCTGAACATGACACTTTCCTGCTTATGCGTGTCTGTGGCCTTATTTTGCTAGTAAATTAAGTTCAACCTTCTTAGGCCGGCCCAAAAGACCTACAGACTCTTCTCACAATGTACCTTTCCAGCCTTATCTTTTGCTAGTCCTTCCACGCTCCTTGTATTCCAAACATGTAGGAATATTCCCTGTTCCCCAAATGGCGATTTGCATACCTCTGGGGTATTATGTGCTATTCCTTCCAACATCACTCTATCTTAAAAATCTTTACATTTGCTGAGCAGCATAAAAGTTCTCCATTCTTCCCTCTTATTGCTATGTTTAGCTCATTATTTCACAAATATTCATTCATATATTTTTATTTTTCATACCTGCAATGAGAGTTTCTCAAATATGAAATTTTTCTTTTGGTTTCGTTTATTTTTTTACTCAGATTTACAACAAATCCTGAGCACCCAATGATGCCATATAACATTTGCTCAGGAAAAATATATAAGAGCTTTCCCAGCTCTGATTGACCTATTGGCAATGTTTATTTATTTTTTCCATATCAAATCCACAAATCAGTTTCCATCAGCTCTCTTATTCAGCTTGAAACTTTTTGATACTATTATGATGGTTTATAAATAAATTTTATTTTCCAATTGTGACCTCAAATGCAAATAGATTAATGAAATAAACAATCATTAACAAAGCATTCTTGCACAAAGGGGATACGCAGGAGGCCTGAAGTATAGAGTGTAATACTAAAAGGCATCTAACCTAATATGCTTGCAGGGAGATAAGAAAGTTGAGGGCCAATATGACATAGCTAGTCAGTGACAGAGGCAGGCCTACCCATCTATCATCTTTTTGGCCATACCATGCCATATTGTCGCCTAGATATATAACCAGACCTTTACTTCCCTATGAGTACTCCAATTTGGGGAAGTCTGGTTTTGAAACAAAAATCACATATTTTCGAATAATATGTCATTTGGGTCTAAATGACAGTCTTAGACATTATTTGGTAGTCTTTAAACTGCTTTTCACTGATTCCTGGAGCTTTGATTCCTGGAGTTTTGATGCCTTCACATTCACAGTGGAGTTGGGCAGGGGTGTTGTACAAGACCAGCTTCAAAACAAAACAAAACGGCATTTTTCCTGCCTTTCCTGTTGGAGGTCAGGCAGGCTTTGTCAGAAAAAAATAAGTTTAAAACTTTATGACATCTAACCCTTATCTCCTTAATCTACAGTTAAATAAATTCAAGCCTGGGGAGGTGAAGAGACTTGCCTTGAGTCTAATGTTCAGTCAGAGCAATGATATCATCAACTAACATTTTAACTTTAACATTCATTTCAAAAACCCAAACTAATTTAAGCAAATCTCTTATATATCAAGGGCCAGGTGATTTCCACCCACAGACCAAATCCAACTCACCAACTGTTTTTGGAAATGAGGTTTTATGGAGTTCAGGCACATTCACTTGTTTACATATTATCTATGGCTGCTTTTCACTACAACAGCAGAGTCGCATACTTGCAACACAGACCGTCTAGCCCACAAGGCCCAAACTATTTCCTGCCTGGCCCCTACAAGAAATGGTTGCCCACCTTTGGTCTATGTGATATATCCAGACCACCAGGGAATTAATACATTCAGTCAGTCAACCAGCAGCGGTCAGATCTACACCTCGATAGCCAACGTGAAAATGTTTTCTTACCCCTCTCACATGACTCACCCCAGGACTCCACTCATTAACTGTGCTCTGTGTTCTGTCTCTCCGATGGTGTTTTGCAGTGTGGAGACACGACTTTTGCTAATTAAAATTGTAGGGCATATGTCACTGAGTACTCAGTGTATCACCTTCAGAAAGGAAAACTAAGAAGCGGAACCTTACCTGTATCTGTAGACCTCACAGTACCAGGGCTGCTGCTTCACACAGAGAAATGCACAGAGCTGCACAATGCAGGTGAAACAGGTATTCAGCAAGACTGAGAGCAGCAAAGGCGGAGAGAGGAGCTGTCCTGCTGGTCGGTATGGAGCCAGCTTTGGGTAAGCATGAGTTGAACTCACTGCAAGACAAATGCATTTTTCCCAGTTACAATTTCGTTGCTGAGAATGAAAAATTGAGATGCGTACTGTTTTGAGTCTTGCCCTAGGGCTCAGGTCGAGCACACATGAATCGAGAATTTACATCTGGGAAAGCGCATTTTCCAGTTGCAGATCTGATGCCATCAGACTTTGTTTTTTCCAGGCTTTGGTTTTACCTTTGGAAATGAAAAGTAATGTATTCAAAGTTCTGTAATTAATACATTTACCCTATTGCATGGTGCAAATATTTTCTTTATGTTCAAACAAATCAGAAATGGTATGTAAGAAAAGACAGCCTTCCATATGGATAAACATTACTATTACCTCTCAGTGATGATGGGACAGTAGAGGGTTAAGATGAGGAGAATAAGAAAGCATATAGCTAGACTAATCTTCAGATGCTGGGAAAAACATTTTTTAAAGCACTCACTCTGCTATTCATTCAGCAAACATTCTCTGAGCACTTCTGTGTACCAGGATAGATGCCAGAGGTGTGTTCTGTTCCCTCCTGGAAATGTGTGTAAATGGAGAACTGCTAGAGCACATTAGACTTGCTTAGGAAAAAGAGCTCATTAAAAAAGTCTTGCTTCCAGATGAAAGAGAGTATTTTAACAGAGAGTGTTAAAGTATATTAGAGGGTCTTCATCCTTCTTAGAAGCCATGCATTCTAACAAGCTGATGAAAATGGAATGTACTTCTTAGGTCAGAGCAGGAAAGAGGCATGGGAAGGTCAGAAATTAGATACAACATGTTTAAAGATTTATATCATAGTCACATTTCAGTTTTTGCTTTCATAACTGTCAACTTGCCCCTTTTCATAACTTATCACTTGTTTCTTTGAAGAAGGGAAGAAAACAAAGTGTGCATGATTAGGTTTGTGTTCATGAACATAGAGGCAGATGATCAAGATTGGGTGCCCAGTTTGGGATAATAAAACTTTAAAGTAGTTTTTCAGTTTGTTCAATGTGTGTTCTGGAGTAATTTTGTTAAACTCTCTGCTCCTTCACTTTGTCATGCATTAACAGAAAATGAATGTGTTGGAATGTCTAAATGTCTCCAAAGGCTCTTCCAACTCATTTATCCTAAAACTCTATAACTAAGGCTTTACCTCTACCAATTTAAGAAATATTTCCCCAGGAAGGTGCTGGGCTAGAGGCTATGGGGTATGCAGAGAAGAAGGACTCTCATCTGCCTTCAAAGAGTTTGAATACACAGAATACACAGGTGGGACTGGCCTTTGTCCCAGATTCTTGAGAGGTTACATCGAAACCCTTGGAATTTGTGTGGCCTTTTATCCCAAGTTCCTAGTATATATCCTCTACACTCTTGGAATTTTCTGATAGGAGTATCTTTGTTATTCGTGGTGATCCCTGAGAGCTTATGCCAGTAAAACAACTCAGGGTGGGCCCGAGAGTTTGTGCTAAGGAGATGGCTCAGGATGGGGTCTGGCCATGCCAAAAACACCAAGGATGTGTTGAGAGAATTGGGGCTTTAAGAATCCTGATATCGGGCTGAAATACAGGGAGAGGAGGGAGGCTGAGGACTGAGTTCACCTCATGGCCAATAATTAAATCAATTATGCCTTGGTAATGGAACTCACACCGAAACTCCAGACACCAGAGCTCAGGTGAGTGTCCTGTTTGGCAATAATCTGCATATTATCATACATTGATGTGTGAGAGGCAAACTGACTCCCCAGGGAGAGGACAATGGCAGTGTAGCCTCTAAGACCCTCCCAGATCTTGCCCTATAAGTCTTCCACATCAGCTGGTTTTGATTTGTATTCTTTTGCTATAATAAAACTGTAATCATATATGTAGCACTTTCCTGAGCTCTGTGACTTGTTGATGTGAATTAGTGAATCTGAGAGGGTAGCAGGAACCCCCAAATTTGTAGCCAGCTAGTCAGAAGTGCAGGTGGCATGGGGACCCCCAAAGTTACTCATGGCGTCTGAAGTGAGGACAGTCTGGTTGAGGTTGTGCCCTTCACCTGTAAAGTCTTGCCTAAGTCTAGGTGGCTGGTATGAGATGTCATTGAAGGGCACACAGGAAGGGACACACAATGAGGGTCAGAGCTGAGGAGAGATGCAAGGAGACCATTCTTTGAGTGCAAGGAGACAGAAGGCAGAGGCTGCAGCACTTGGAGTTCTGTCTGCGCTCCAGTACCCAAGGTAGAAGGTGGCCACAGGATTCGAAAAAAAGCAAGAGGTGTTGGTAATCCATCTGTGCCTCTTGGCTTCTCCCACGTTGGTCTTCTCTTTCTCAGATACTCATTGAGTTTTTGACGTTTCTTTTATACAGAAACTAAGGTATATTGAAGTACTGGCCTCTCAGGACAAAGTAGACTTTACCACCCCTTACTTTTGATCTCACTGAGTGATTTTCTCTGGCCAAAAAAAATGTTGTCAGAGGTCTGAGGCCTGCTTGCACTGCTGGGCTAGCTCTCTGCTCTGCTCTTTGTGATCTGCAGTGAGAACATGCCTGGATCTGTTCACTCAGCCTGGTCCCAGGATAAAAGAGATGGAGCCAACCTGAATTAAACCCATAGCATGGACCAAAACCAACTGATCTACATCCTAAAGCAAAATGGCTCAGCTGAGCCCACCTGTATCATCGGAATGACAATCAACCAATAGACCCATGAGTGGGTTTTGTAAGCCAATGAGTTTTGAGGGTAGTTTGTTAGACAGCATTAGTGGGGCAATAGCTGATTGATTCAGAGTCTTTGGATAAAGAATATTTTAACTTTTTCCATATTAGAAAATCCTAATGCTTTCTGAGAGGGCACCTGTACACCTGACTGCAGATAAATATAAAAATAATGACTACCATTTTAGGGCTCCTACTAGGTTCCAGGGGCCGTGTACATGTTTTATACATGTTGTTTTTATTTCCTCAAAAAGCAATGCAAAATAGGTACTTTATCTCCTATTTTACAAGTGAAGAAACTGAGGTTCAGAGAAGTAGAGTCCTCTGTTTACAGAGCCACAGTGCGTGAGTGACAGAGTGGTGACGTAAACTCATCTGTTTGACTTTAAAGCACCATATGCTCTCTGCTCTACAGAAAAATGCAGTGTATGGACCCCGGGAGGTAAAAACGAGAAAACGAGGAGCCCTGAAATACAAGCTTGGAGAGCAATGCTGGTTTTCCGCAGCCAGAAAAACTTTTCTGAATTGTCCAGGTTTCCTTAATATGATGATGATGATATATGCTATCAGGCTGCAGGCAGAGGAATGAAAACTTGCGGAGTATTATATTTTATTTAGAATTAATCATTGCCTCTAAGTTTCCACAGGACATCACTCATATTGCCACTGGTGTCTTGCATTAAATCAAGCTGTTTACACACGCCCTCGGCAGACTGTGAGCTCCCTGAGGGAAGACAACGTGTCTCACTCCACTTTCCGCACCTTACTGAACCCAGCACAAGTTCTGCTGTACGGGAGGGCTTAGCAGTTTGAATTCCTATTCTCAAAGTATAGTTTTTAACTGTTCAGCATCCTTTGGGTATAATGGAGGCGTGCTTCTCCTAAACAGTGGGCTTACTACATATTATAGACTTTTTAAGTTAAGTCAGTCACGTTGCAGGAGGCTCATGAACTCACCTAAATTACAGGCAAAATGTTGAGTGTACGTCATAAAATTTTTAATTTAAAGTGAAAAGATCTATTTTTTCCATCAGATTCTCCAAGGGGACCAAGACCTAGAAAATGTTAGGCATCATTGAAGCCCTGGTGGACTTTACAAAAAAGATGTTTTTATAGAATGTATGAACTCCCTCCTACTGTCTCCTTTTCTGGACACTTCCTCCTCCCACATGCTGAAATGGTTGGCCTAACTGGACCTGAATTGCATGACCCCATCTTCATTCATAGAAAAAACTGTCTTAGAGGTGCACATCTGACACAAATTAGGTCAATAAATTTTCTCTCAAGAGATTTGCAAATAAGATACCTAGAGGCTAAGCTAATTAGCTCTGGGAAAATAAGCAGAAAGGTTATAGATTCAGCAGAGTCACGATTTAAGGTCATTAGCAAGGTGAATGAGTAGAAGTGAGATGAAAACAGTAAGAATAGGATGAAGAAAAAGACAAGATGGTCTCTTGGAAATAAAGAAAGCAGCCTTGACCTGGCTGCTGTGGCTCAGTGGACTGAGCACAGGCCTGCAAGCCAAAGGGTCACCGGTTTGATTCCCAGTCAAGACACATGCCTGGGTTGTGGGCCAGGTCCACAGTAGGGGGCACATGAGAGGCAACCACACATTGATGTTTCTCTCCCTCTCTTTCTTCCTCCCTTCCCCTCTCTCTAAAAATAAATAAATAAATAAATAATTTAAAAAGAAAGGAAAGCTACACTTTCCCCGACTCTCCCCTTCCCTTCCTTTTCCCACATCCCCCCCTCCCTCCATTCCTCTTGTCTCTGTTCGTTTCTCTTCCTTCCAGTGTTGCTGGTCTTAGTTTCTTTGCATCTTTGTATTGTTGGTTAGGTTCCGCTTATAGGTGAGATCATATGGTATTTGTCGTTCGCCCCCTGGCTTATTTTGCTTAGCATAATGCTCTCTAGTTTGGGGGAGGGGGCAGGGGAAAGTGGTGGGGGGAAGGCAGAGACAAATGTATTTGAAAAAAAAATTCACTTTAAAAAATAAAAACAAAAACGTAATAATAAAAAAGAAAAGAAAAGAAAGCAGTCTTACATGTTCTAGGCTTTCTAAGGGCCAGGTGCTTCTGAATTTCTGTTCTGATTTTTTTTTTTTTTGAGAATTATATTCTGAAACATCCCCCTTTCTCTATTTTTTAAAAATTTAACTTGAGTGGGTCTTTTTGAAGGGAACAAAGATGTATCAAGAACACATTTCTTTCAAGACAGCTTCTAGACCTATTACAGTCAAATGGACTTCAAGGCATGCATTTCCTTAATTTATTTCCTTGGCTTTATCTTAACTTTTCTCCTTGATTTTCCCTTTAATATACAGGAGTTGGGAAAAGTAGATTTACAGTTGCTCGTATGGGAAAAGACATGCAGGTTATCATTATTACAATAGCTTTATTAACTCAAATGAATGTCACAAGACAATTGTAAACCTACTTTTGTTTTATTAGGTGCCTCTATATGTTGCCTTAAAATCTTGTGGGAACAAGGGAAGGTGTGTATAGATAAGCAAGTAAATAAATTAAATATGTAATGGTATTTTGTTTGTCTCATACTCACTCAAGCTTAAGGTCAAAGCCAAAACCTGGGAACTTGGAAATGCAGGGGCCTTGGTGAGAGTGAGTGATTTTACATTGATCATTTAATTATCAGTGACTCCTAACATCTGCAGATGAATGTCCACAGTTCTCAACCTGGTAGTTAAGATTCTGTGATCTGACCCAACTCACCTTTCAAATTTTAGTCTCTTGATGTTTCTTTTCAAATGCCCTACAGTTGGCCAAATTGAAAAACTCATGGTCCGTATTTATCAGTTCTCTCTTGTTCATGATGTTTTCTTCTATTTGAAATTCCCTTCTCCTAGTAAAAGATATCTGGAATCAATCCATCCTTCCCATTTTGGTGGAAATACTACCTCTTCCATGATGCCAACTCAGTGTTTCTCTCTTTTCTCCATTGCTGTCTCCTCCGTAACCCCAGATTTTCAGAAGCAATTTCTCCTTTTTCTGAACCTCTTTTTTCCTGGCACTCACTACTTTAGATTTGCATTTCATTCATTCATGAATGTGAATTCCCCCACTACACTGAATTTTAGTGACCAGTCTTTTCATGCACCAGGCACCTACATGCCTAACAAATACTAGGAGATGAACACATCTAAGGGGATGCTGAATGGGGCTTTTCCTTTTCCTTTTCTGGGGAATTTTGCTGAGAGTCATATTTAAGAACAATGAATGTTAAGTGCCAGTATAATGTAAAGAGAGAGCTCATTGCCATATCTTCACAGTACCTACTCAGAGATCCATATTGGTCCTTCAACTATAAGCATGCCCACTCCCCCCATCCCCCTCCCCACACAAAAAATTATCTATATACAGGCTATATAAAACTATAAAGATTATCAAGAGATTTTTTTAAAAGGAATTTTTAGGAGCAGTAAGAGCTGTTTTATTTTTCCTGCATTACCCTAACTCAAATAAGTGAGTGTCATTAGAACCACTCTATGAGAGACCTTAAGTGGCTCTGAGGTAGAGAGTGGCTCACTCATTCCCCTGTTGCAATATCAGAGGGAAGAAAGAGGGGGCAGCAGTGAGAGCAAACTATACATCTACTGTCAATATCTGGTAAGTCAAGCAGGAGCTGCAAGAATTAACCAAACCAGAGGTGTCTTGGGAGAAATCTGCCCAATGGGGCAGTCTTCTGGGGTTAGAGGCACAGCAACAAAAGAAGGCTTTGTGGTACGTACCACTAGAAGGCAGTTGCTGAAAAGAATCCTGAGGAATGAGAGAGAGAGCACCACAGTGTCAGCGAGAAGTCTAATTCAGACAAATCCACAGGGATTCTCTGAAGACTCCGAGAACTCACCAATGGGCCCCCTGCAAATTCTCTGAATTTAACATGCTTGTCATATCAGAGGGCACTACAACACTCCCACTTAAATAAAAAGTTCTTTGCTCTTCTTGCTCTCCTATTCCCTGAAGCAGGGCTTGAATGTAGGTGAGTAGAGACCATTGCAAGGAAAGTAGAGACCATGGCCTTCTTACCTATCGCTTGCTTCAAACCATAGGGAAGTCTTGATATAGGGGAAGCAAAGCTTCAAATTAGATGAAAACACAAAATCTTAGTTTATAATGCCTAGATGTTCCATAACTAAAGATGAGATCGTTTAATACCAGGAATTGACCAGGAAATGATCTGCCTGTAAGATAACTGAGCTTGTAAGGATGAGAAAGCAATAGTTTCTGAAGGCAGAGGGTAAAAATCAAACAAAAATAGCTGTTTCTTGACTCCATTTCTCAACTTCACCAACCTACCTTGAGCCCAGCCCATTTATGAACCAGCTATATGCTTGTTGAATAATATTTGGATAAAGTGCAGTCATTCTGACAGAACATTATGCTTCAAATTAATACCCTCCTGAGACTTTTCTTCTACTGGTAAACAATGATCCTGCCTTGAGTCATTCCAAGTTTCCCACTGAGCCTGCTCTGAAGTAAGAGGCCAAATGTCATGAAGATCAACAGGCTATTGCCATGAGAAAGAGTAAAGTATACCCACTGCCATGGCAGTCAAATTTATAACCAATATCATGAAACTAAGTGTGTAATAGGTCAAAATAACTTGGCCAAGCTTATCCTCATTCTGAGGCAAGGCTAAGACTACCACCCAATGTTTTGGATTTCTAATCAAACAGTCTACTTGTACACAGTCAAATTCTTTTCAAGGGCTCACTGAGTTAGCGTCATTGCTCAAGAAGAAGCGGAGTGAAGGAGCATATGGTGACATCATTAATTTTGCAGTAAGTGCTCCTAGTGTGTCGTGCATTGTGCTACATACTTCATGTGTACTATTTTGTCTGATCCTCACAACACTATGAGGACATTTCCTATCAGGAAATTATTTGTTTTATAAATAATTTGCCAAAGGTCACAGAAATGGGGAGAGGTGAAGGATAGCCTTGGCCTTCCCCTTCATGCTACTGACTGTTAGCCTAACTCTTGGGACTTTCTGGCATTCCATTTCCTTTTTAGCATCAATGCCCATATTCACAAGTAATCATGCAAATTACTTTAAAATATCCAACACTGGAGAGCAATATCATTGATTCAAAATTATCCAGTCGTGTTAATATGAGTAACATGTAGAAAAACATTTACTGGGCTATGAAAAGACATTTCAACCCTAAGGATCAAAATGGAAATTATTTACATCTCTGATACTGGTAAATTTTGTCATTGGGTTGATATAATAAATTACTTCAATATCGGTTTCATGTTTTAAGATTCAACATGAAATTTGCGTGGTTATTAATATCCTGCATTGCCTGATGTTTTATCTGTTATATTTCAAAACACTTTGATTGTTGAAAAGGAAAAAAAAAGATGACTACGTCATTCTTTTTCTTTTCTCTCTGTTGAGGCAATCACCTTTCTCACTTATTAAGAGCTAGTATCAAACCTGGGTTCTTTGATAGGAAATACTATATCAGTGTCATCTGCAAGGAAGGGAATGAGTAATAGCTGCTGTAAGCCACACCTTGCTTTTGAGAGAATTTCAAGAGAATAAAATGCTAGCATTTGTTCTCACACGTCAAATGCTGAGCAAAAATCTGGTTTCATGTCAACATGAAGCATAGCCAAATAATGGAAAGTGACCTTTGGGTTTCAAAGATTTCCCTTTCCAGATTTCTTGTACATTTTTTCTATGTACAAGGCATAAACCTACAAAGACCTCAGAATACATTGAAAATTGTATGAGGCTAAAATGTATTTGCTTTCAGGATACTTTAATGCCAAGTCTGAGGACTTCAAGCCTCAATTTTCTCCCAACACCACTTTCAAAAAATTCATAGGAAATGAGGTTCTGCTGGTTAAGGTGCATCTTTCTCTGAAGGCCTTATTTGTATGAACATTTCTAGAATTTCATGGATAAATACAAATAGTACAGCTTACTTTGCTAAAGAGCTTACTTGTTAAACAGACCATCAAAGTAATGGCTATATCTTGCATGAGATACTGGTAATTCCCAAAGAGCTGCAGTTGCTGAAAAGGAAGCAAAATTAGATATAAGTGTTGCTTCTGCCATTTTATCAGTTTATCATTTCAAACACTCTTCTTGAAAGTAACTGTTATTTTTCCCCCTTCTTTAGGACGACAGTGACTTACCTTAGGTTTTGCATTTTATTGGAAAGAATGAAACCAGATCATTACTTTCCCTTAACTTAATTCCACATTAGCAACGAGGGTCAGTCCTTTTGCTGGGCACAGTAGTTATGGCAGTTACAGCATTAGCCTGGACAATTGAGTTCCTAACATAAGATACTAAAGTTCAAAAGTTCTTCTGGGAATTTCAAACTTAAATTTAAAGGCAAGCTCTCAAATCACCAAACAGCTGTTTCTTTCCATCTTTATTCATGGGTGGAGTTTACACCATAGTCCTCTTGGAGGCCCATTCACTTTCACAAATTGAATAAGTCCCTTACCTCTAGTAAGTCCACTGCAGACTTCACTCTGGCATACCTGTCTTTCTAAGGTTCATAAGGCATAGAACTTCTTTTATGTTCACATTTATGGAGTTGAAGCATTTAAATATAAAAGTCAAGTCATTACTCTCTAGGAACCTGCCTTGCAATGGTTTTGCAGCCAGTTCTGTTTATCTGCTACATAGCAGTTGGATGAGCACTAAATTATAATCTGGCTCTGTGTACTTTACAGACCAGGCAGACAGAAATGAAGAACATTTCTGGCCTGTTAGAGGGTGAACCCAAGGCCCAGAAGTTTCAAGGTGCAGGTCTTTGGGGACATTCTTATTTAGGTCTAGAGTCCCAGGGGCGTCCAACTTGTTGGCCGGGGGACACATGCAGCCCAGGATGGCTGTGAATGCAGCTCAACACAAAATCATAAATTTACTTAAAACATTATGAGATTTTTTGTGACCATGTGTCACAACGTATTTAATGTGTGGCCCAAGACAACTTTTCTTCCAGTGTGGTATAGAGACACCCCTGGCTAGACCATGAGAATGAATGGCTTCGGACTAGACCATGATTCCAACTCTATCTTTGAGGACTTTGGAATTCAGGTTCTGCTTCCCTATTTTTCAGAGGATGCAAATGGTTCCTCAGTATCCCTATCACCCTCCAATTCTTCCTTTGTCTTCTTTACATTCCTTTCTCATGTCCTTTTCCTTTATTTTCTGCTTAGATTGGTAAAATGATATATATGGGGGGAATTTTTGAAAGAATTTTAGTATTCATTTAGAAGCAGCTTACATAGAACTATGTTATAGAGAGCTTTGGCAATTAGCCAGCTTAACTTTCCGGAGGCAAATAAAGGCTTAGTTAAGAGCAAGATCTAATTTTCTCTTAGTGATAGAGGCAGAACCTGTACCTAGGTTTCCTGACTCCCAGTCCAGGTCTTGTTTCTATCCATCTGGTTGCCCCTTAACCTTCTATGTGTGGTCCTTGCTAGCAACAGCCCACCAGATGCTAGAGTCCTTATAGCTCCCTCATTCACCTCTCAAATGTCTTAGAAAAGCAGTAAATTAATTTTCTTCCTGACATCGTCCCTGAGCCTGTTGGATCATCTTATGGTAGAACAAGTTATGACTGAACTAATGAAGTGTACTTTCAACCTAAACATATTTCTTCCATATAGCTAACTAATTCTTAAGTGCTTGTTTTGATCACTTACTTTAAAAGTCTTTTAAAAAAATTAAAGAATTGTTGATTCTTTACTAATGACATGTCTAAATGTGTAAATTCTGGGCAGGTTCTGAAGTAAAGTTCCAGTATGGAAGTTTTCCTAGCTTTTGAATCCTTCAAAGTCAAATTCAACAACGTCTTTTTCTTTTTATCTCTTCTTAGTCTTTTGCCAAAAATATTCCACAGTTGGTGACTGATCCATTTCCTGCTGAGTTATATTTAGGCTGCTCTGAAACTTTCTTCATAAACGCTTGAAGAGGTCAAGTGTCTCAGGTTATCTAGAGAAAAACAACACTCCTAAAAAACTGAGACACATCTATTTATTTCTCGCTCTATGTTTTGTGCAGTTATACCAAGTTCCCAGTTTGTAGACATCTATTTTGAGAAATGTCATTTATATATAAAACATTGTATCCTGCATAAGAGCTGCACCCCAAAGAATAAACCAGGGATATAAATGCAATTAGAACAAGAAAGAATTCTTTTGATTCATACCCAATAGAGTAGTGATGTACCAATAAACTGGATTATGCCATACATGGTCAAGTATTTGAATACCCCAAAGGATGAAACCAAAGCAGCTCGGCCTTCTCTGTTTAAGAAAAAATAAAAATAATTGGTTATGTATAATATACATCTCCCATTCTCCTTTATATTTCAAAAAGAGTTTAATTTTTAATAGCTTGTTGACATACATTCATTTAACCATTGATTTATCCTCTTAGTTATTTATTTACTCATTCATTCATTTTCTTTTAGTCATTAACCTCACTCATTAATTCATACACTCACTTTTAGTTAGGGTTTATGAGGTATCAGAATTGTGCTAAGAGTCATGGAGAATATCAATAAATCAGGTTCAGTCTTTATTTTCAACAAGCTTTCAGTGAATTAAGAAGATTGACATGTACATTATAAACACAATACATTATGAAAAGGTGAAAAATGTCAAGCATTGACTTTACTATGACTCATTACATTCTAACAACGCTTGCTTTCTGAGAACTGAACTGTGTGTGCTTTTGAGTCCCTTAGCGACCTAAATCATTTTAGGAAGTGTGGACGGGACTCCAATATTTGAGATGAAATGAGTTTTGTGGGCTTCAATACACCAGGAAGAACCAAGGGTAATATCCTGAGCTGCTGTGAAGATCAAGAGATAAAGGTAGGAGTAAAAATTGCAGCTTAGAAAGTAAATATTCACCCCCTTTAAAAAATTATTTGAGCTGTGACTCCTTTAACTGGAGCTGGGTTGGGTGATGGATTATGACAGGCTGAAGATGACGAGGTGAGGCAGCCGTGCGATAGGAGAGCGGGGAGCCTGGCATGCAACCCCTCCTGCAGCCTCCTCTTGTCCGGGCAGAAGCACATCCACAGGGAGGCAGCTCACACCCTTTTTGTTTCTGGTGTCCAGTGATGTAGACACCTGCACTGCTCAGAGACTGTCGATGGAACAGGGACATCAGAAGGGAGACCTAAAAAAACTGTCATAATCACTGTGCCTCAGGGAAACAAGAAAGTTCAGGTGGGAGATAGGCCAAGATGCTGAGGGCAGATATTTCCCGCCAGACTATGGGGAACCACCATTTGTTTTCCACAGAGAGGGTGGAGCAGAAGACAAGCTGAGAAGAGGTCAGCCTATGAAGCCTGGATCATTTTCAGACAAAACTTTGTCATTTTATCCCTTTTTCTATAGGCGGGTACATTTATTTTAAAAATTAAGACACAGATTCAAAGGAAAGTGCAAAAAACCATTCTAAGGAAAGAATAAAGAACATGTGCCTGGAACTCCAAACTTACTGCTATTCCTAATGAGTATGAATCTTAAGCTGCTCATTCATTTATGTATGCATTCCACAAACAGTAATGAAATGCTCTGGTGTATCCAGTTTAGCGCGAGGCACAGTGATACAGAAATGAATAGGGTACAGTTATTGCCCTACAGGACTTGAACTATAACAACAGTGTCTCAAAAGATAAAAATGAAAACCCATGGATCTGGACCTATGCATCTAAAACTGCACCTCATCGTCTCTCTGGAGGACGTTTTCACAAGAATCAGCACATATCAAAGGGAGCAAGAGTACAATGAGCCTAATGGAGCTGAACCACATCTAATTTTTATAAATCTATGAACTATAAAAGCAAAGAGTTTCTACCCTGAAGTATCACTAAACCATCTGCCACTAGAGAAATCTTACATCACCACTTGTAATTTAAAACACTATGTTACATTCATAAATGCATCGGACCACATGTGTAAGAAAGAGCATCTAAAGTTCAAACACCACTGCCTTTCGGACGGACCAACCAGGCGCTCTCTGCAACCATGCAGGCGTTCAAGCTCCTGCAAAGTCTCCACAGCTGGCGCTCCAGCTTCACCTCCACCACTGTCCTATGAGAATCCTTCCAGGCCAACTGGCCTATTGGGCCCTGAACCCTCTAATTAAAACCCCATTTATAAATATGGTTCTCCACTTCCCCCACCTAGAATCCCCTCCCAGTTCCTTTCTGTTCACAAATATCCTTTAGGGTGCAACTCCACTGCTGAAGTCTTCCCTCGGCCTGGAGTTATCATACAGAGCTACTGGGGAAGTTACTGTGTTGTTGGATGTGAATTTATTTAAAGCTAATTTATTGAGCACCTCTCACTCTGTTTTTTTTTTTAATTATATCTATATCTATCTATATTCTTCACTAAAATGTGAGTCCTCCAGGGCAAGACTCTGCCTCATTCTTAGTCCCCTATATTCCAAGCATAATATTTAAAAAGAGCTCCAGGAGTTGTGTTGATAATAGAAAGCGAGAACAAGGGCGAGGGGCCTGAGCACTCTCAGTTTGTAGTTGCCATGACAGGAACCAGAGTGAGGCAATAGACGTAGTACGAAAAAGGCTTGGGAAGAGTCACCGAAAGCAGTAGAGCATAATGCTTGATTGGCGAGGAGTAAAGAATAGAACAAAGTAAAATGTACTCTGAGTTTCCGAGCCTGGATGAGGGACCCAAAGGACCACATGGTCCTTAGAATCAGGGAACCTGGGAGTTAGGGAGAGGAGCGCTTTGGAGGCAGGGGAGGTGATGATATGTGTCAAGCTGACATGCACCCAGACAGGGACGTGGAATTTCTAGCCTGGCACCTTTAGGTCAGTGATTCTTGCCAGTAGCTGTCCATTCAGATGCACCAGCGGACAGGTCAGAGAATGTCCTGGTTGTCTTTTTTCTATAAATCTAAAGATTTGAGGCTGTCTTCCAGACCACTGGCCATGAAGATAGCCCAATGTTACCCCACAAAGTTATAGGAAACAACAGCAGAATGGGATTTATGAACAAAAGATTGAGCCTATTGTATTGTTCTCAATTACATTTAAAATAGGAGTAAAGACAGCATCAGAAATGAGAGTGGAGTGGAAGTAAGGGAGCTATATTGGAAAAATTAACAGTTTTTAATTCCTTCTTCTTCCCTAACTATTGCCAATCAATTGAAAAGTTCTTTTATGCAATCATTTTGGATGTTCATTAATTTGCATTTGGGGGCATAACACGATCTGGGGAAGCTACCTGATGGAACGACCCCCTTCTGCCTCCTCACCCATTATCAGCTACTGAGAGAAAGGTTCCAGTCAGTATCCAATGTGCAAAATAAAGAGAGAAGTAAAAAAGTGAGTACTTTTTAAATACCAACTTCAACCTTCCACTGTCCACATGACACAGTCATTTATCATTTAAGGCTCAGCAAAAGTCACTTTTTTGTGGCTTTTATCAGAATTCTCAAGCAACACTCACGGCTCCCTTACTTGGTGCTCCAGTGGCACTTTACCCACGCCTCTGTTGCGACAATTAACACTAAACTATAGTTGAATTCTGTTGAGAGTCAGACAACGAACCCATAGTCATGGGGGTGGAGGAGGAAGAAGGGGCTTACTTGATGAGATGAGGCACACACTCGATGTTGGCTGTTCTTGAGGTGAAAGGGGAGGCCACAGATGCCTCCTGCTCTGACAAGGAAATGCCCGCATGAGCCATTTTCAAAGCCTGGAACGATAAATCTGTGTTATTCCCATGGCCCCTCAGGCTCAGCTCTAACTATTCAAACACCGTTAGGCTATTCTTCACATTGTAGAGTTTTACAACACTGCACCCTTCCCCCCCGGGGTGTCTGATTATGTTCTCCCTCCACCTGGACTACCCCTTTCCCCTGACCCACAAAGTCAGCAACTAAAGAGGCACCAACTAAACAATGACTCAGAGGTAGGAGAGTGGGGTGTGTATGTGCATGTCTGTGTATTGGTTATGGGGGATAGAGGTAATTAAAAATGGAAACAGTCATTCAAGAAGTCTATTAAAAAGATGACAGCATTTGGATAGACATTTGTCAGGCACCTTCATTATCACAGTTCTTACATTTAGTAGGTCATCCTGATGAACAATAGGAAAAGACATCCAATCCCCACCTTCCCACAGGCTTCCTGACCAGACCAACCATCTAACTGCTGGGATGAAATGTGGGGCATATGGCATCTTCCCTGGATGCAAGAACTAGATCACATTCATCAATGACTCATACCAGCACATGTGTTACCTCACTGAAATGAAAGCTAATTCATTTCTTCACAAGAATGAGAACTGTTCATAGTAACAGACTCAGAGACACAGAGAAGAATCTGATGGCTGCCAGACTGGGGAAGAGGTGTTGGTGGGCTGGGCGAAAGCAGTAGAAATTAAGATGTACAAATTGGTAGTTACAAAATAGTCACAGAGATGTAAAGTACAGCATAGGGAATATAGTCAATAATTTTGCAATAACTATATAAGTGTCAGATAGGTACTAGAATTATTAGGGGATTCACTTTGTAAATTACATAAATGTCTAATCACTGGGTTGTACACCTGAAACAATATAAAATAACATTGAATGTCAACTCTGATTGAGGAAACAAGAAAAGAAACATTGTATTTCTAAGGGTGATTGTAAAACATATCACATAAAAATAATTTTTTTAAAAAGACAAAATTTTTCAGAAAGGGCACAGAGCAGACAGTGACAAATAGGAAGGCCAACAAGTCTTTGATTCTACTGGAATTGTGTGGGCCTAAAATAAGATTTTGTATTTCTGCAGTTCTATAGAACTACAAAGTACCTGGATACTATGACCAATAGATATTAAATTCATGGTCAGTGAATATTAAGATATTTCCTTAGCCTTCTCTTTTCTCTCAATATTTTGCATCTCTATCACATAATTTAGTAGCCCCGACTTTATGTTAGGGATATTTTTATGCATGACTCTTTCCCCCACCAAACAATGAACTCTTTAGAGGTAGAGCCTCTATCCTTTTTAGCACTTGATTTCTTTACTTGGTTCTAAACTCCGCATAACTTATGGGAATGGGTACTCATTCTAAATTTTGAAGAGTGAACTAAAAACTAGCCTTTCATGAAATATAAGGCAGAAAAATTCACAATAGATCTCTAAGTATGAACATAGTTTTATATAGAACTTTGAAGAGAACATTTAAGAAGGAAGTAAAATAACCAGATCTTAAGTATCTAATAGGCTTTGGAAATACAAATTAATCCTTTCATTTCTTGTCCCACACATTAGCTATTAAAATATTTTCTTATGTATATAAATCTTCAAGGTAGAATATTATTTCAACCATATCTTTAAAACTCAGATTATAAAACATGTACGTCTCCTACTGTGTACAAGGAATAATCTATTGAGAATCATTTAATTTAGGTTTTGCTATAGTATATATCAACTGAATAATTCAATCTAAAAATTCATTGAAATTGTTTAATATTTTGTTTATCTTGGTTCAGTCATCAGTTTATATGAAGACTGCAGCCAACGAATCAAGAGAAGGCTGGGACGCAGAAATGCAGCAATGGAAGAATTAGGAAAGGTTACTAAGAGCAAAGATGTGTTATTCGAGACCAAGGTTAAGATCATCCATATCCTCATATGCCCAGCGACTATGCACAGACACAAAAATTGGACAGTGAGGAAGGCTGATAAGAAAAAATTGATTCATTTGAAATGCGGTGTTGGAGGAAAGCTCTACAGACACCCTGGACCGCCAGAAAGGTGAACAAGTGGGTCCTAGAGCGAATTAAGCCTGAAACATTGCTAGAGACCAAAATGACACAATTGAAGCCATCCTATTTTAGGCACATCCTGAGAAGGCAAGGCTCTTTTGAAAAGATCATAATGTCACAAAAAATGGAAAGCAGCAGGAAAAGAGGGAGACAAATATGAAATGGATTGACTCCATAAAAGAAGGCATAAGCATGACTCTCCCGAACCTGAGCAGGGTTACTGAGGATACGACATTGCAGGTGTCACATATTCATAGGGTCACTGACAGAGCTGACTCTTTGGCATGTAACACACTCTATTTCACTACATGTAAGAATCTGGGGATAAAAATCAACTTCAGGAAAACTAACCCTGAAATATCAATAGAAGTTTGGCAGGAATAATACAATTTACATATAATTCAAAATCTTTACTCAGTAGTTTCAAACTCTTCCTTTACTAAGATTTTTATCAGTTGTGTGACTTCAGGTAAAAAAGAGTTCACTTCCCTGGACTAATTTTCTTATTGATAACATGAAAGATTTAAACCAGCTGGTCTTGTAAAGTTCCTGTAAGTCTGAAATATGGGATTCTAAGTAGCTTTCTCTTGTCTTTATTATTCTAAGTACTCCAGAACACAGCTGAAGTGACATATTTCACATTACTCCTTTCCACTTCCAACCCATACTCAGGCAGAGTTGAATATAAACAGCAAAATAATCAAGTGATTGTTGATAGAAGTGTGAAGAAACAGACTCCAGGGGACTGTGAGGTCCTCCGAAGGAACTGCCTGAGTTAAGAGTAGTTTCTACTCACCCCACAGTCATTGGCTCCATCTCCACACATGCCTACATAATAACTGTAGGGGAAAATATAAGAAAAATTAATAACAAGACCTCACGTGAATGATTTCCATCATAACTAACTCATATGCAGTGTGTATGTGTGTGTGAGGGAGAGAGAGAGAGAGACCTAAATAACATGTAGAATCAGGCTTCAGGACAATCTCAGAGGAATAAGGCCATTGTATTTAAATTGTTACAATCAGTCACATGGAAATGATAGTGATACTGCAGAGACGTCCACAAAGATGATCAGCTACTTCAAAAGAAGTCCTGCTTGATTACACCCACCAAGGCCAAGGTTAAGGGTGCACAGTCATGATCATAGCACTCACCACAGAACCTAATACACAGACCATTGGTTGCTGACTGCTGCTGTGAGTATAGAGTGCAAACAGCAGGTTGAGAAACATTTGGGAAACAGTTTAACAGATATAACTAGAGAGAGATACACATATTTTTGATGCATCTTGAAGTAAAACTAAAGAACAAACTGACAGTACCAGATGCGGGGGAGGGGGAAGAAGGCGGAAAGAAGGGCAAGCATCGTCAAGGAAGATGTATAAAGGGTCCATGGGCAAAGACAATGGGGGAGGGGATTAAATGTGGGAGCCGGGGGTGGGTAGGGCAGGGGAAAGTAATGGGGGGGGGGATGGGGACAATTGTAATTGAACAAGAAAAAAAGATAATATGTTCCCATTATATCAGTTTGGTATGCAAACACAATGGTATAAATAAAGAGTAAATATTAAAGCTGCTGCCAAAGAAAAATATATTTCTGATTCAAGACATACTCTTTTATTATAAGTGAATAATACATTATAGGTACTGATTAATGACAATAATATTAAAGGCTCAGCTGCAAATTGCCAAAAATCACATGAAATAACCAGATCAATACAGGGAAAAATAGTTTTTAGAGAATTTTCTTATTATTAGTTGACAAAGAAATGGCCATATTTAATAGGTCAAAAATGGTCAAAAGTAAGCAAATTCGTATTTGGCTGGTGTAAGTGAAAATCACCCTATAAATATTTGTATGTGCTCCTGTACATGTCATGACTATGCACATTTGTTGAAAACAGCTTTCCTTCTTCAGCCTTAAAGCACATCTTTAGTCCCATATCACATGAGGAATCTTACATATTCTAGTGTCCCCCGAATTCAGAAAGTCTTCAGAACTAAGACCGCCTCATGCACATTGCCAGAGATAAAGTCATGAAGAAGAAAATGGCGAAATTGAGAAGACTGCTCATTCTGAAACAGCACATATCCTCCTGAATAGATTTTTCCTCAGGGGAATATAGTTTTTCAACTTTAAGCACTTAAGTTGGCAAAACTTCTCAGGCATTTGAGAAGGGTAAAGTTACTTTCGTCAGCCAATAATATATAACAACCATGTAAGTGAAATAGTCATTTTAGGCACTGGTTACTAATCCAGACTCAAGGCATTATGGGAGTTAATAAGCAGTTTTTGAAACACCCAAAGAATGCTTGGGCAACAAAAAATAATAGTAAAAGGCAGTCTCCGGATTTTACCTACTACTTACCAGCAATTTATCTAAAGTTTCACTACTCTCAGGTCCTTTCCACATTTCAGAAACCCATAGCCCAGAAATCGTAACAATTCCTAGCAAGTAATAGGCACGTTTGGTCTCAGGAAGAACCATTTTATTCTGACATGGCATGGTCATCTGTATTTTTGAAGAACATAGAAAAGGACTCCCCCCCCCCCACTTTGGCCTCTATACCCATTACGTGCCAGGGCCAGATATGGTAAGAATGTCTTCACCTCTTTCCTGGATGATCTGAAATTATTTACATATCTTCTAATAATTCCACTTCAAGTAATTTTGAGTGATAATTTGCATTCTTCCCCATTCTTTCCCATTCTGAGCTACTCAGGCCCCTACAGTTTTATTCCCTACATCCAAACAGGCAACTTCCTTCTAAAATAATGCCTTGTGTGAGCCACAGAATGAATGCTCTCTGGGGCAGGAAGCTTCTAAAATGGTCCTCGGGGATCACCGCCTCCTGGTACTTGCAAGGAGTGCCATGCCCTTCTCTAAGTGTGGGCTGGACCTAGTGACTTCTTTCTAATGAGGAAAATACAGCGAAAATGATGAGATGTCATTTCTGAGCTGAATATATAAAAAATGGTAATTCTCTCTCTCTCTCTCTCTCTGATTCTTCTTCCTTGCTCTAATGGAAGCCAGCTGCCTCACCGTGAGCTTCTTTGTAAAATGACCCATATGGCAAGGAACTGAAGGTGGCTTCTGCCCAACAGCTGGTAGAAACCACCCACAAGAAACTGAATCCTACCAACAACCTGTGGGTGAGGCTGCTGTCAGATCCTCCCCCCTCAAATGCTGAGATGACTGCAGTTCCGGTCGACACCTGATTATGGCCTTGAGAGACCTGGAGCCAGAAGAGTCAGCTAAGCACACCTGGATGCCTGCCCCACAGGATTATGAAATAATAAACAGTGTTATTCTAAGCCACTAAGTTTTGGGGTAATTTGTTACACAGTAGGTAATGAATACACTCTTTTTGTGCGGTAACACTTACTTTAATTTCTGAAATTCTTCAACAAGGCTTGATTTTTGCCCAGGAGACATTCTTGCAAAAATAGTTGCATTCACCAGAATCTAAAGAGAAAAACGATTGCTGCAATAAGATTAGAAAAAAAGAACACTTTAAAATAAAAGAACAGCCCTGAAAAATCACTTCTGGCCACTGTTTGAAAATATCATAGGGTAGTGGGTCATTAGACCAAATGTCAGGAAAGGGAATAGGGGGATTTAATGCTTTAATATTTAACTTCACTCTCAGTTCTCTATCACAACTCTATTATTCTTTCCAGGCCATTTTTCCAAGATGGGATAACCTCTACTTAATAATAATAACTAAAAAGCAGCAGAGCATGTGGGATAAAAATGCTTAAGGAAATACAGTTCTTTTTACTGAACCCTGTCTCCACAGCTGAAGCATAGATGGAGAAAGGAGCAATAGATCCAGAGTAAAATAAGCTTCTATTCCAAGCTCTGTCCCAATTACCTGTACAAACCTTCAATGAGCGACTTAACTTCTCTGAGTCTCAGCTTTCCCATCCCTACAATGAGGAACTGGACTAATAGTTTTCTGGAAGCCTTTGGGGTCTAGATTTTATGGTCCTTGACTGGTAAGATGACAGAATTCTCCAGACGTGGCTAACAGAGGGCTGCCGCCCTTGGCTTGGGCTCCACTTATCTCCTTCACACTGACAGCACAACCCTGCACAGCACTATTTTAAAATATACACACAGAGGACAAGATAACAAACGATTTCGGAAATAAACCATGGGGACTTTGTTTCCTGCTGCTGTAATTCAGAGGAAAGCTGACCCACAAAATAGGAGCACGTTTGGCATTATCCCGAGGTTCTCCCTGCTGGGGAAGGAGGAGGGAGGGAGGCTGGGGTTGGACTGGCTGGGGGCAGGGGCAGGGATGGGTGGTGCTAGAACTCAAACACCAAAGAGGAGGTCGTGAGCAAGTGCAGGACCAGGTGCGCATGGGCGGGGCCAGGGAACTTCAGAAGCAGCAGCGACACTTTGGGGGTGTTCAGGCTCTAACTCAGAGACACTCTCAGTGATGTCAGCTTCACTACTCTCTTCCCCTTTTATGTCTCATTAATTTGCAGAGGGAAACACAACACTTCATTTCTCTAGTACTCACTTTTGGTAGCAAGCTGTTGAAATGCTGAAATAGTACTTGGTATGATTTTCCACTCATTGCAAAATGATAACAGCTCTCTTTTTCTCCAGCAGGCACTGAACTGTTTCCAATATTAATGTACGTTTCCTAAAATCAAAAGGCATCATTTCCACGTGGGCTCTTGGCTCTTACAGGATCCCTTTGCTTTCCTATGTTTTCTGAAAGGAATTATATTCATATTTCATAACCACAGGAGGGCTAGCAAATGCAGAATGTGTAATTTGCCTGTAGAACTTAGATTTATATGAAGAAGACACTCAGAATGTCTCCCAGAATTATATATGAACGTGTGATGCTTTGACATCACGATGCTCTGGATCCTATCCTGGGAAATGATGTGTGTGATGTCATTCTACTGAGGAAATTATTCTCAGGTACCAATTAGTGATTCCAAGAAGAACAGGAACATTTGTCCCTCCTCTTCCTTCTCTTCATCCTGTAACCTCTTGTTTCCTAAGGTCACTTACAATTCCTCCCTTCAAAAATCATTTTACGGCCTTGACTATAAAGTAAGCACACTCTTTTATCGGAGCCCAACTTTCTTTAGCCCCTGACCTCTCCCCAACCCAGCAGGCAATCCGTTTCCTTAGGGCGCCAGCTCCGTGTCTGAAACCCTTCTCCTCCTGCCTTTCACTTGTCAGTGGCCCCTGTCTCTGTGCTGCAGCCCCACAGAAGAGCAGCTGATGGGTGCATGTGAACTCATCGTGGCAATAGGTGAGGAAGCTTTATCCACTAGAGAAATTCATTTTAGGGAAAGCATGGCACCTGGAAGAAAAAATGTTTTGATGTGTCAAATTGGAAGGCAAGGTGCCTCTCCTTCCAAGCCCCATGAAGCAGCCAACAAAAAGACGTGCTCTGGAGCAATCCACTTGAGGCAAGGACAGGGTTCCTTTTGCTTTTGCTAGAAATTTGGGTGGGGGGGAGTGTGACGGGAGGAGACGGGGAGGAGGAGGAAAGCCTAAGGCTGTGATGGGACCTCCCAGCAATGACCCAAATGTCAGTTAGGGTATTACATTCATGAATCGGTCGTGTGAGTGGACTGTTTGTTAAAAATAAGCAAGGACCTGAGTTTCATCACACAGTGAAATTGAGGCGACGAAAAATGACGTCGATTTGTGCTGAAAGCATAGAGAGAGTTGTCACTTTTCACAGCCCATGCAAAGGGGTTTGAGCCAAGATAAGACACCTCTTCACAGGGTAGGGGCAGGAGCACTCGGGACGGTTGGGCAGTTTGTATACTGAACAAAAGCCTACTCCACACTAAACAATCCACAGGGCTGGTCAGCCTAGAAAGAAGGGAACAGTTTTGTGATTTATCACCTGGAGGACCATCTCTCTGAATTCAAAGACAGAGCAGGCGCATTTAATGATGGAATGTCAGGCTGCAACCATTCCCTTCATGTGAAAAAGCTGTCCTGTCACAAGTGCACCGGGAGCTTCCTCTGGAGAAAAAGCTGGCACCTGCTAACTGCATGTCGCAGGCCCAGCACAATCTAAATGCCCATGATTTGGGGGGAATCAAACAGACCTGGATTTGATAGGCTGCTCTGCCACTTGCCAGTTGCATGTCTTGGACAAACTTACCTTCCTAGGCCTCAGGTCTCTCATTTGTAAAGTGGATAATTTACTCAACTGTATAGGGTAACTGTGAGGATTAAATGGGAATTGTGGATGTAAATTGGTGGTTCTTAACCATGGCTGAACGTTGGAAACACCAGCAGGAAAGGCTGATGCCAGCTCCCAGCCCAGACGTTCTTATTTAATCCCAGCCCAGAGGTAATTATTTGGCACTGGAAGTTTAATCATCTTCCAGGTAATGCCTCTGTCCAGCCGGGGCTGCAAAGTGCTGGTGAAAATGCTAAATGCTTTGCAAACTGCAAAGCTCTTGACAGATATGAAAAGAATTACTGTGATGACTTGTGATGCTAAGAGAAGTCTACCCATGGCCAGCACCAAATCAGCTCTGGTCATGAAGGGGCCTTTTAAGATTTGCTTACATTCTTCCCAGATCCATTCTCTTGGTTCCCTACCAGCTGCCAGGTCACAGAGGCAGGAACAAACTCTCGTGGCTCATTGGCTTCGATGAGGATCACTTGGCTCCCTTGGAGGATCATTTCAGAATTCTTTGCAACAGTAATGGCTGTTTGCAGGTTGTCACCTAGACGACAGAGAAAGGCCATTGGCTTTACATATAAACCTCGCAGCAATGGCAATTGAGCTCCCCCTTTCCTGAGTGCCCGCCTTGCTTGGCTGGTGTTCTTTGGGGGCATTTATTGCTTTCTGCCTTTTTTTAATAACCTTTAACTCCCCCTCTGCCTCAGCCTGTCTGCCCCTCGTGGTCAACTGCCATGTCTGCGTTTCCCTCCCACCGTAGTTAGCATCCTGCCATCCTGAACGTCTCATCTTTCCAAAACATGCGCACACGAATAAATAAATGTTTGTCGCTTCCTGACTGAACCTCAGGAGACTGACAGCTCTCAGTGGTGAAGGTAGTGCGGCCCAATCTGATAGCATCAAACCACCCTTGGGATCTGAGTTCCGGTTTGGCAGAGAAAAGGACGCTCAGTGCTGGCTGGGCCGCGCTCGCATTTGACCATCCCAAGTCCAGTCCAGATGCGTCTCGGACCCTTTACACAGAGGTCTTATTGAGGTTATTGATGAGAACACATCCATTTTTGTGTTTAAACATTTGCTGCGAGCCCCTTAAAGGGGTGCTTCCTGGATAAGAAGAGTGGTTATTAGACAAAGAAAATGTGACGTGGTTACTGCCTCCAAAACTCATGGTGCTGTTGGGAGAGCTACACGTTTCCGGATAACTGCACCTCAGGGTAAGAAACTTGGCAGGAAAGCATTTTTCTTTCTGCCTCAGTCACATAAACTCACTCAGCTCACACAGTATTTTTCTTATGCCTGGGACACAATCAACTTACCAGGACTCCAGAAATAAATACCTACCAGTAATCATCACAGTCCTGATGTGGGCCTCCCTCAGCTCCTTCAGGACTGGTTTGGTTTCCTTTTTCAAGCGGTTCTCCATGATGAGAAGTCCCAGAAATGTTAACTCTGACTCCACCTTCTCTCTTTGGATTCAGGAAAATCAATATTAAAGCTTATTTATATGGTCTCAAGAGTTAGATTTGTTTCTTCTTTTTAAAATTTCTAAGTTTTATCACTGTACTGTATGGCCATGTTTAATGAATTTTTAAAAAAACAAAACCTAAAAGCTTAAAATAAAAACCAAGAGACCATGTCTTCACACCACCTTTCTTCTTTTCAGAGGCAGCAATCACTTTCATATCTTTTAGCTCCTTCTAGTTTTCAACTCCATTTTTTAAAAACAATGTGCTTATCTTGCAACTCTTCTGTTGGTTTTAAAAAATTGTGTTAATCATTTACATTTTTAATTCCAAGATCTTTTTTTGAGCTTGTAATAATCAATTTATTATACATCTATTAAGTGCATACTGCAAACAGGGTACTATAGTAATAGTTGAGTATGATGTTATTCATTTCAACTTCCGTCTGTAAGCTCCAGTGTATATGTGATTTCAGAAGAGCTGAACAGCTTTTATAATTTCAAATTAGAGGCTTGGAAATACAATTCAAATTTGAATGGGCACATTACTCTCTGGAGTAGAGTCTAAATTGCTACATATTTCATTCAAAAGTCCATTCACTAAATAAGTATTTTATTTTAGATCTTATACTAGGGACTTTGGTGAATACTCAGATAAGCAGATATAAATCCTGTTTTGGGGATCTCAGAAAATATTATTTAAAAAATGTACCTTAGTACAGAACTTGCTAAAGTCCCATCATTTAACTTCATGAATTTCCATTATAAATTTGAGTAATATTTTCTCATTAACTAGAACTAAAAGAAAGATACAAAAATCTTCCCACCACTTTATTCTGGTTTTTATCTCTATTTTATAACTTTTCCCCTTGTTCACCATTTCAGATACTGTGGCCTTTTGTGATCCAGGACATTTCTAGCAAAATCGTGTATCAGGGTCTTTGCGCCACTACTCCTACTGCCTGCGATGCTTTCTTCCCCACTATGGATATCTGCGTTCCGTGCTCCCTTACTTTACCCAAATCTCTGTTCCAAGCTCACCTCCTCAGAGGACTTCCCTCAACACCTCGTGTAAAACTGTGTCCTCTTTTTTTTTTTTTTTTTTTTAATCCTCTCAACCTGCTTTATTTTGCCCTTCAGGGCATTTATCACTCCTTGACGATATTGTATAGATTTATTTTATTATCTATTTCCCCAATGAGGATATAAGCTCAGGATGGCAAGGATTTTATTTTATTCCCTTCTGAACCCTCAGTGCCTCAAAGAGCATCGCACACACTCAGGCTCAATAGAACTTTGCTAAACTAATGGAAGGGGAAATCTTCATGAAATCTTGATGAAATATTTCTTCTATTTTTTAGCTTTCTTTTTTCATCTCACAAAGCTCTCCTACTTTCTTTTCTGATGGCAGTTTTTTAGATGTTTTTATTTTCTAATTGGAAAACTTTGCTAAATAGAACTTGATTCTAAAGAATATCAAAACCCTATTCCTGTATCTTGTTTGAAAATAGTAACTGAGTTCTAAGAAGCATAATAGGCTCCTGATACTCTCTTGGAAAATCTGAGATGGTTATAAGTCTATGACATTTAATCCTCATTTTTTTAAATTTTGGTATATTATAATAATGTCTGTCTCACTAGCAGCTTTTATTTTTTTTAATTTATTTACTTTTTAAATACATTTGTCTCTGCCTCCCCCCAACCACTTTCCCTTGCCCCCTCCCTCCTTCCCTCCCTCAGCTCTTCCCCTTTGGTTTTGTCCATGAGTCCTTGCTGTATGTTCCTTGACTTTCCCCTTCCCTTCCCTTTCCCTGCCCCCCCTTCCCTCTTGTCTCTGTTGATGTAGCAGCTTTTAAATAAGAACATCACAGCTGCATTTCTATGTGACAGCTGGGTGGTGGCTACATTCCATGTCCAGCTACATAAATATTCTCTTCACACATGATCTTAATGTCTGTTATTAAAATTTGTCTTGAAAAAATAATAAAATCCTGAGTGTGGTGGGTCTTTATGCTTGCTCAAGAATAACTAACACCTTGAATGTGAAATCTGTGAGTGCCATTCAATATTTCAAAATGAGCTTTGTGATTCTATTTAGAAAATTAAAATGTTGTGGCTGAAAAGGCTCCTTAAAGATCACCCAATCCTACATTTTGAAGATAGAGGAAATTGACACTGTAAGAAAGGGACAATGACTACTGATTATAATAGAATAGATGAACTTAGGTTGTAAATACTAATGCTGAATGAAGATTATCCATATTTTATGCAGGAGAGCTAATTTTACATCAAAGTGTCTCTATTAGTAACACAAAATAAAAGATAACTGATGCATAGATGATTTGTTATTCAATTTTTTACAGTATTTCTCTACTTCTTTGTTATAAGCAATTCAAAAACAATCTTTAAAAACTGAGAAACACTAAAAGGAAAAATAGTCCTCTGATGAGGACCATTCATTCCCTTAATATAATTAAGGATACCGAATTCTATTTTATATAAGGAACTCAGTTTGCCCTCACTATCTTCCCAGATCTGAGGGAGGTATATTATTGAGCCCTGAAAGAAGCCAAGTCTAAAGATTCTGGAGGACTTTCAAGGTGTCAACTGTGTCCTTCCTCTTTGCATGTAGGCCTCCCAAGTCAGTTAGCCACAGAGTGCTCCAAGGTTGAAGAAGGGCTGGTCATTTTTGGTGGGATAATGGCATTCAGTAGAGAGACAACTCATTAACATCTGGAAGTTAGGAAATCTCAACCGCCATCCTTGTTCTGCCACTAACCAGCACTGTGACCTAATCAGGTCCTCCCCTGTGCGGCTCACAGTTAACCATCTCTGAATTAGGAAACTAGATGAGATTGACTTTTCATCTCTAAGAGCTTTCTTAAAGATTTGAGCTATCCATCCATCATCTCCAGGGCTCCTTCTCTTCATTCCCACAGGGCCGATTTCTGAGTTTCTTACCTGGATAAACTCTCCACTTCTGAAAGCTTCCCCACACTCAAGGCTTTATGGGCAAGGGCAATGACACGAAAGCCTTGCTTTGTGTAGTTTCTCAGCTCATGTGGGAAATCCTTGGGCACTGCCAGGAGAGGAAAGAGAAGTAAATGTAAGGTCACGCTGAAGGCAGCGCAACTCCCAAGTATGACTCTGGGATACAGTCACTGTACCTTGTTTTAACTTCCACTCTATAAAATTGCTTTCATAGAAAAATGACAGCTTCATTTAAAGGCCACAAACAACTTTATTAGTGTGTTCTTATTACTCTGATGGAAATGAAGGCCAAAGGCGTTCTGTTCATCAACTGGGTGACAACTATGCGGGCTGGGTTCAGTAAGGACAGACCTCAGGACTCTGTCTACCTGTATGAAATGAGGGAAACACTGATCCTCTAGATCAGGGGTCAGCGAACTACAGGCCAGATCTGGCACATTGAGTGTTTTTGTAATAGAGTTTTATTGAAACTTTGTACCTGCCTTCAGGCCACATTGGCAGGGTTGAGCAGTTAAGACAGACACCATGTGGCCCATAAAGCCTAAATTATTTATTATCTGGCTCTTCTCAGAAATGTTTGTCAATCTCTGCTTCAGATAATGGATGACACATGCCAACATTTGTGTATTTTGACATGGTAATCATAAAGAATATCAGTATATTTATAAAATCTTTATGGTTTATAACAGGCCTACAAAGATAATAGAAAGAGCACAGCGTAATGGCAGGTGTAATGGCTAAGGTAACAAAAGACCTGAGCTCTAGTCTCCAATTTACTACCAAACAGCTCTCTGATGTTGGGTATATTAAATCTCTCTTCTGTACTTCAATTTTACCATCCACAGCAGGAGGGGGTTGTGGCTTTCCAAGAGCCCACTGTGCTCAAGGAAGCTCCTATCTCTCTATTTCTTAAGTACAGGGGGAGAAAATCACTGAAATGATATTAGCATATGTCAAGGACTAGGGTTTATAGCAATAGAAGAACTGGAAGATTACCAGAAGAGTAAGAGGTGACAAGTGACATGCACTGATAGAGCAAGGGCAATAGTTATCCATTAAAATGGCAAAAAGATACATTTGTAGCTGAAAAAAAGAAAAGAGCAAAGTATAGGTCATCAGTCTGTAAAGGACAGAGTTAATAAGAGCTAAAAAGATTAAAGTCAGAAGAAAGGGGGCATTTCTATGGTACAAAAGACTCCAAGTAGAGAGAGAAGTTAAAGCAAGTTTGCCAAATCAAAAATTTGGTGCACAAGTTGAGAGATATCAGTCATCATAAAGAGAACGTAGATGAAAATCAGCAGGAAAAGGCCAATCTTATCCAAATGAACCCATTTGAATGTAACAGTATTCTTATAAATCTTGGCTGCTGCTTAGAGGGTGCATATGTTTATAAGACTAAGAAACAATACAAATCAGCTCAAAATCTGGCCCAAGAAGATGAAATTATTGTGAAAATAATCAATTACTTTGCTCTAATACCATCTAATTTAAACACTCTTTTTTTCCCTAAATGATTGATCTTTTCTACATTTTCCTTCCATCAATGTCTCTGAGACCCCTTAAGTGGCACCAGTTCCCCAAGGGGTGACGGAACACCTCTTCTGTGGAATTAGTCTAATGTCCCCGCCTGTCCCTATGGTTTCCTCTTCCAAATGCTCCTCACTCTCATACCCATCCTTGTTCCCAAAGCCCAGAGTAGCTTCCTATTCCAGCTCCTGATGCTCAGTTCACATCTCCTTCCCTGATACTCTATCGTGGTTGGGCTTTTCTGGCTGGACCGCAGCTGGGTGTTTACTCTCTGCTTCTTTGCCTTGAAATGATCATGCCTGCTTTATCAAACCTTTCAGTCCCACTTCCCACCCACCGAGGAGACAACCACCTCCACATACATTGGCTTAGGCTTGTTTGCTTTACGTGTTTGAACTTTAAAAATACTTTCCCTCTTGAAAGAGACATGTGTCTGTAGTACCTGTTTCAGACCGGCAGAACTGGGCCAGCATCTCCGGGGCGCCCTTCATGTAGACATGGAAGTGGTCCTCCCCAGCCAGCCAAGCCACCACAGACATCCTCTGCAGGCTCGATGAAAATGGAAACTGGCGCAAGACGATGATGGCTTCCACGGGACTCTGGATGGACCAAAAAAGGGGCATCTATGAAGCTTTTAAGTGAGATTTAGCAGATGCACACTAACAGATAGGCTCTCCTCTACAATGAGCTCAGGGACGTCATGAAGTGGTACGCTTTTCACACTCTGGTATTTTCCTGGCTGCCTCTAAGGTGGTTTCCTTATCCAGTTGCCTGGCCTGCAAGCCCGGCCCTTTCCTTTGGCTGCTTGGAGAAATCCTAATCATCTTCCAGGCCAGGCTCACAGGTCACTCCTCCTTTGTGGTGTTTCTCTCTCCCAGAAACAGCATTTACTCCCACCTCTGGACTCCCGTGGCTCTGTCTTCAGCCTTTGTGATAGCATTTGACACATCGTCATATTTATTTGTACCTCGATTGATATTCTTTTTTACCAGCCCATGTGTTCCTCCCACACAGAGACCAACATATCTAGCTTTGAGGTCACTCTATCGCTTAGCACCTAGCAGAGTTCTCTGGCGCATGTATGTACCCTGTGAGTGCTGAATAGATTAATGGATAAATTCAGGAATGAGGGAATGAGCAAACCAACATGGGCACTGTTAGGATAAGGCAAAATAATAGGAATATAAAAATATGTGAAATTTAGGAGAGTTTCATCAGTTTTAAGGGGAAAGAGCTATATGATTTAAAGAAGCATATCATACCCGACTGGCTTGTGGTCCTGGTTTTAGTATTATGTTTGAGTCTGACATCCTAAATTTGTAGTAGTCTACATTGCCATCTTCCATTATCTGTTTTAAATTAAAAAAAAATTCATAAGATTCCTTAGAGAAAAAAATAATATAAAAGAAATTTTTCTCATTTGCATAGCACTTTAATCTTTTCAAAGCCCTTTTCACATACTTTCTCTTCTAGACTAATTATTTTAATACTGTCATTGTCAAATTTCTGTTGTGCTGATTTACATTAAAGGTCCTTATTACAGAATGTGAAAAAGCCAGAAATATTGTGACTGCATTTTAAGTAGTAATTGATGGAAGAAGTTAAGAGCTACAGTTCAATGGCTCTTCCTACAGTAACTCTAGTAACTGAAGGAGGACTTAGGTGGAGATCTACTCTCCAACAAAACTGAGCCCATTAGCTCTCAGAGGAGTTAGGATCGGATCTTGAGATAAACACGGGGCTATTTCTTATGCTACAGCTATGCTACTAGCCTAACTGGTCAGCTAAAGAGTTAGCAAGTTAGCTGCTAGCCAGTTAGAAAGCATATTTAAAAATGGTTTGCATTCTTTGGATATTATTACAGTATAAGTCATACCATCTGAGAAATTAATATTAACCTAATATATGGGAAAAGCAGTCACATATCACAATAATTGCCCTGTGTAATACATTATTGTGTCAATTCCAATGATGCTGGTAAGACATTGCTTATGATAATTACACTAATTCCTCTTTTCTTGTCCAGAAAAGTTGGTCTTTTTTTGTCTTGGTGTTAAAAATTTCTGCAAAACAAACACTTTAATTATAACTTGCTGACATCAGAAAGTTCCCTGTTTACCAGGTTTATTTTTTACTTTGGCCTTTAGAAAGCTATAGTTTTCCTACTATGCATCTTTAAATTAACATTTGTGTGAGATGTACTTCATGTCCCTACAATCTTGTGTTTCCATTTCTTTACAACTCTGTTTAAAATGCTGTCCTGTGTTTGATTCATCATGGTAAGTAGCTTTAGAACATTTTTTTGAAGGGTAACAGAATGTAAGTAACTAACTAACTAATTTATTAATTAATACCTTCCATTTGTTGGGCACTTCACACAGGGCCCTTTTAGGCCCATAGTCTCTATACTCATCACAAGTCCATGAGGGAGGCTTTGTCATCTCAAATGCACAAATGAGGTACAGACTCCGAGTCTTGGGTCTGAATCTGGGGTTACACACCTAGAGAGTGGTAGAGTCAAGAGGTCTTCCCACCTTGTCACAACAGCTGCCAGGAAGGGTTTGTGAGCTTCTGCCATTTACACTTCGCTCACAAAACTGAACCAGTTGGACTGAGAGCCTTCCTATTTGGTGTGGAGACTTATGCTAATAGAGAAGCCACCAACCATTCATATCTATTTCACATTAAATTAAAGTAAATGAAATAAAAACTTAGTTCTTCAGTTGCATGGCCTCATTTTAAATGCTCATTAGCCAGGTGTGGTAAGTGGTTATTATATCGGACAGCACTGCTTTAGTCTACTGTTTCTTTGAGGATGTTTTAAAGAATATTTCTCTCCAAAACATGTTTTGCCCTATCAATAAGGTTTCCATGGTCAAATAGGTTTGGTAAATGTGGCATTTCATAGTCTCTCTTGAGTATTCACAGTGACCTACAGTACACTAAAGAAATCCTGCAGTCAAATAGATTTAACTTTCTTTCAACAGCAGCCCCCAAATTCATTTGATCATGAAACCCTATTTCATGCTGACTCATTAACAGAGTTATTTGGTACAGAGGTTGGGAAATTTGGATAAGATTAGACTTTCATTTGTGCACTACTAGTAATATTCTCTGGGTTTTAACCAAATTTAGAAAAGAAAAGCGTTAGCATTCCCAGTCAGGATTTCCTCAAGTTTTCCTCATTCCATTGAAGCAAGACACTATCACCTTACCCAGGCAGTGCCTTCAAACATCTTAAGGTCCAGAGGGTCTCCCTGGATTCTCCCGTCCAGAAGAATCAGAGAGTGGCAGCTGGCCATGGCGGCACACAGTGGGCCCCACGGCAAAGCCCTGCCTGAAGTAAAGCTGTGGACTTCCTGAAAACTGGTAGAGAAGATGCTTAATAAGTTAAGGTCTCCAACCAAATCCTTTTGCACACCACCCCTTAAATCTAACAGAGCTTTAATAATACGTAACCTCTATCCTGGAAACCTTTGATACTCCCCATGTCTTATATGATAAAGTCTATGCTCCTGAGCCTGGTATTCAAGGGTCTGTCTGCTCCAGTTCTATGTCACCTGACAGATTCTACTCTTACTAGTGTCCTTTATGCAGTTTTTCCAGAACCAGGTTAAACTCCTTGCTATTTCTATACTTGTGCAGGTATTGCCCTGCCCTTGAGCTTTTGAAGAGTCTGAAAGTATCAGCTCACTTGGCTCCAGCATTTTCTAACTGGAGTATTCTGCCTGCAGATTGCTCTTCATAAAACTCTCCCTTGAGATGGATGTGAATTTTCTTTTCAACTGTTTGCCACTGGTCCATCAACACTATAATTGCCGTACATAGAATCACAGGGACTTTCGTCAGCCCACATGATGGCTGTATGGCTGGAAAGTACATGTTGGTAAGGCTCAGAGCTGGTTCTAGAGAGCCACTCTACCCAGGCAAGATGTTTCTAGGCCAATGAGATAGCAGGGATGAAAAGGAAACCTGCCTAGTGGTTCCTTATCCCTTCACGTAAAACATGCATGGACTCTGAAATACTCCTCTCAGTCCTTTGGCCTTTGCCCCCATTTCCTGAAACTCCTGGCAAGGGCATCCAGCACCTAAATCTTGTTTTCCTCTTTGACAGTGGACTGGCTTGGTTTACCTTACTCACCTCCAACCTTAGAGCTAAGTAGTCATTGTATCTAGTTGTTTCTACTTTTCCAAAATTTTCAGAGTCCTAGGGGCAATGGGAAAAAAGGCAGGGTAGAAACTGCAGACATCTTTTTCCTTTTTTATGACTCTGAGCAATAGAGGCCCTGCCTGTCTGGACAAAAGCCTGGCCCAGGAATCTAAGCAGCCAAGAGCAGAGATGGGAATGAGGCTAGAGCCCAGGTCAAATGCTGAGGCCCAGACCAAGGATCTTCTGCAACATGGCACTGCCTGCCTGTTGCTACTGTGTGCCAGTGTTGTGTCTGGCCCTGTCGCCACCTTGAGGAGCCCCGCCATAACTCGTCTTCAATGACAGCAGCCTCAGCCACCATTGGGAGCTAAAGCTTAGGAGCAGGGGCCTCTCCACTCAGCCTAAGAAGGCAAGTCTCAACCTGGCAGGGAGGGATCGAGAAGCTCTGGGGCTCTTCCTGGGGAGGGACACTCCTTCCACCCTCTAGCTCTGTTTTAGCGTAGCATCTCTGTGATTGCCCTCTTGCCCCCCCTAGTGTCAGCTTTTAGCCCATGCCTGTAAAGATTTTAGCCATAGACCCTTCAAAACCTGTCTTAAATGCTGTCTCCTACAGGTGGTTTTTCTTGATCTACTCATTTTCAAAATCAATTTCTACCTTTTACCCACTATGTCATTATAAAAACCAGGACTGTGTATTATATTAAGCAATTATTATTACTTCTTCTCAATTCTGATGTTTGCACCTTAATAGTAACCCTTTTCATAGCCTGTGTTATATATTGAAGGTGGGTGCATTTGTACCTTTTATCCCATTTAATTGTGAACTCTAAGGGGAGGGATAGAGCTCTTCTTTTCTGGATTCCCCACCACACCAGCTGCCCGGGAAATCTTTGAGGTTTTTGATTGAACACAGTCCTGATTTCACTCTTTGCTTCTCTGTTTTATTCATTCAGCAACTCAATCATCCATCTTATTCTATTCCATTTTTCATGTGGAATTCGAAGGCCTACTTTCCCTTTCAGATTCCAAAATTATAGCTCATTTAATTAAAAAAATTAAAATAATTGGGAGCTGGTTCCAGCTAATTATTATACATATTTTATGTGACATTTATCCCTCAACTCTGGAAGGACAGGTTTGAGTAGCCCCAAGGCAGCCTCACTGGTCATGCATTCCTTCTTCACTAAGGTGCCTACCCGTTGTCCACAGTTGGGACAGTCCCCCAGAGGTCCAGGCCATCTTCGGTAAGAGTACCAGTCTGGGGAGAAAATTAGAATTGGTATTAGCATAAGATTTAGAGCTTTTAATTGTATCATGACTTAATAAAAACCAAGCTCCCAAGAAATTAAAGTAGATCAGTTGTCCAAAGCTCTTCTCTTTGTAAGCGTCAAACATTAAATCAGAGAAGGGTACCTGAGAAAAAAGGTTCAGCAGGTGACAAATGATTCCAAAAGACCATGTTGCTAATTAGATTCTAATTACTAACCATTGCTACAAAATGGAAGTGTTTTGTTTTTGTGTGTTAATGTTTGGTCTTATTAAATGAGAGCGGTTCAGTGAATGCATATCTAATAGGAACCAGCTTTTACTTTTTGTTGGTACTTGCTATCTTTCTGAAGCAGAGCTCAGAATTTTTTTTTCCATTTAAGACTATTTAGTTCACAGTCTTCCATCTGGTTCACACAATTTCCCAAAATGTGGGTGACATGATGGCTTTCCAGATTGATAATAAAATGTTGCTAAAGGGTTTTGAGACTAAAAAGAGCAACAAAGTGCTAAACAAATATTAATTAATGTCCATGAATAAGCTAGATCAAGAAGAAAATAGTGGGGAGATTTGATTTGCTGTATTATCAGAGTATTTATCGGAAGATGTAACAGAGAATTCAAAATAGAACTGAATACACCAAGCACTTTTAAGTTGCTTGTTGTTTCACAGTCAATCATTAATTGCAGAGCTCAGTGTCTTTACTAGGTAGACTAACAGCTTTAGGGCTGCTTAACACCCTGTCAGAGGGAGGAATTGGCCACTGGCAAGGCAGAGCAGAGCACTACCAAGCATCCGGGAACACCCTGTTTCAGCACTGACACGCAGCTCTCTGACAGTACTTCTTAGATGTCACCTCTACAGAGGACTCTGAATTTTCTAGATTTTTATTAACTGACATCTTCTGTCACTACAGCACTTCACAGTAGCCCAGCGCTTTACAGTGAAGTGCTTCCAATGCTTTCAGCTCTTCCAGCTGAGTAAATAGGGTAGAGACAGCCTCAAGGTTGCAGGTGAACAGGGCAGCCTCTGAGCACAAAGGCCTGCGAGCTGGAGAGCAAGAACCAGAATCCAGCCGTGCATGGTCTTCCCCTGGGTGATAAATGTTAAATGAACTTGGCAAAGCCTGTGGGAAGACAAAGCCCATACTGATTTCCAGATTAAAGAATCAAAGAAGCTTTGTTTTATTAATTCATTTGGACTTTATAGAAAGCTAACATATTTCTGTGAGTGATTCCTTGAAGAACAACAAGGGAAGCTATTTGCTTAATATCCCTCCTGCATTTTATAAGGGCCCCAACCTGTATGTTTCCAAATCCCTTTGAGTTGTTCCATTCCAAAAAGATTTAGCAACTTAATCCAGACTGAGATGATTCCTGGTGATTAGATTATGTTTTTAGGCATCAATATTTTGAACATGAAAAAAGAAATGATATGGCAGAAAACAGAAATGGAACCATGTTATTTATCTGGATGGAAATGACCATTACCCAATAAAACTGCCATGAAATAGAAAGAAAGCTAAATTATAGTTAAGGTTCTCAAGAAAATAAAATAAACTTCTTAGCATAAATACTAGCCTAGGCTTGGCTGAATTGAATAGAAAATAGAGAACTTGTTTGAGAAAACTTAAAACAAACCAGCGCCAGCTTAGAAATATACATGGGAGCAAATGTATTCAGAAGTACTGCTCAGCTCTGAGCAAAACCAGGCTCAGAGGTGACCTCCCGCCTGCAGCAGGTAACTGCACCTTGTACCTGTGTAAAGCATGCATCCCACTGCATTGTCTTTATCCGCACTTCCATTTACCTGCTTCCTCAGCTAGACCACGAACTTCTCAAGAGCTAGGAACATCTCATTAATGGTGTTCTCTGCCAATGTGAATTAATTAAAAAGAAGTGAAGCCTTTATGATTATTCAAATGCAAATGAACTGAAGGCAGGGAGGGAGCAAGCCAGGTCCTTTGCATTACAGCAGTGAAAGTGGCCTGCCTGAGCTGAGGGCAGGACTGAACAGCAAGCAGGCAGCTGACATGAAGTCCCAGCAGGCCTCCTGGAGGAGAAAGAAGTGACCTCAGGACCTGTCCAGCAGGAGTATGGCCCATCTGAACCTACTCCTCTTCTGCCGCCTTTCCAAGGCCCTAAGCACAGAGAAGACCTTCCCTAATCCTGAGTCCTCATAGCCTGGGGAGAAAACAAGAAAAGACGGGCCGGAGTGCACAGTCCCAGGGCATGTCCACTCTCTCACTTTCCTTGGAAGAAGCAGATGAGGAGAGAGGAATATGTTCACTTAAGCTCAGGACAAAGCACTGGGGGAAACCAAAATGTTCCTCATATTTTTTGCCTGAAAAAGCCAGGGAGTCCTACAAGTTATTACAGTAAGAGATTGTTTTGAAACCCAAAACAAAAACAAACAATATTAAATTTCTCAGGGAAGAAACACATCATGGGATAGCTGGCCGCACTTCCTCAGGACTCAGAAGACCAGACATCTAGAACATGATCTCACACCAGCTCACCATGCGACCGTCTCTGGCCTCAGGGGACCCATCTGCAAAATGAGAGTTCTGGACTAGACATGCTCTGAGGCCCTTCCCAGCTCTGCTGTGCCTTAAAGCCATTAACCTCCAACCTGGAAAGTAGATCATACTTTGTCAAAACACACAAGGTTTATCTGCCCACACATGTTGATTCTCTGTGGAGAGATACAGAAGATTTTCTTTTTCCTCAGCCTCTTCTGTGCATACACGATGCCTGTGGTCAGCGCAGCTGGCAGCACTGGAGGGACAGTCACGGTGAGGAGGAGCAGGGCCATGGTTGCAGTGTCTCTTGGAGAGACCTGGGGAGGGGAGGGACATGCCCGTTAGCCTAGCAGAACAGACCTGCTCCCTTCCTGGCACCGTCTCCTGCAATACCATAGGAGCTCTGGAAACTAAAGAATATTCCTAGTGAGTTGGCTCTCTTGGTGGGGCTGAGTGTTCTCTTGGCTGTGCCTCATGAATGTACAAACTGCCTCCCACTGCAGAACAAAGAAGACTCTGATCCGTAGCTCCAGAGCCTCCATGCCCTTTTCTGACTCAGTTTTTTCTCCACTTAGCATTCCTTCCTCTCTGGGTGCCCATCCCTTCTCGGCCCATCCACATGCCCTCTGGACTCCCAGGGCACTGGGACTAGTCCTGAGTTGTAACATTTCACACAGTGGCTTGGCTGTTGGTTTATAAATCTCTCTCCCTCTCTAGCCTACAAAGTCCTTGGGCACAGCAGCTGTAGCTTATTCATCTTTGAATTTATCTTATTCGTCTCTAGAGAGCTTAGCATAGGTTCTGACACAGAGGAGGTGCGCAGCACACACATTGAATAAACGGCAACTTAATAAAACTGTGACCAAGATTCTGACAAGATCTCAGCAAATATTATGTGCTATCAGGGAGCCAATAATAAAAATAGCTTGTGCTCACTAGACACACAGTCTGGGACAGGCACTGTGTTAAGTTACATACATTAATTAGTTATTCCACAACCTTCTGATGGAAATACCATTGTTGTTTCTTAAGCACTTAACAAGTGAGGAAATCAAGGCTTAAATTACTTAAAACTTCCCCTAGGCCACTTGCTAGTTAAATGGTGGGGATCTGAACCATAGTCTGTCTGACCCCAGGGCACAAACACATAACTAGAATGTTGTATTTTCAAACCAGTTCTCATGGAGCCGAGATTTCATGTAAGTCTGAAGAAGTTCACAGGACTGGTAAGGGCGGGGCCAAGATCACATCACAGGGTGGCTTGTTCTATTTTTCACATGCTCTAGATGTTAATGGCTCTATCCTCTCCAATCTTGCCTGGGTTTTTATGAAATTAACCATAGTTTTGGCCATAAAGTCCTCTTTTGAGTACTGGAATCACAGATTCAAGTTCAATAACAATGCTTGCTAGATACGTCTTTGGTCCAATCAGTTTATTGCAAAATTCATCATTCCCTGAGTTCCCCACCCACAGTCCCCGAGGAGTGTTGACCCTGAAGACCCAGCCCTGCCCAGGCCTGAGCCGGTGCAGATAGAGGCAGCCGACAGGCCTGCAGGTTTTGATCCACAAGATGATGGGGTCTGTGATTAGCTTTGTTACTTTGGTGCATATTGGATGTGGAGTCCTGTGCAGGAAACCTTTCTTCCCAATCACTCCTGGCTCCCCCGACCCACAGGATAAGGTTTTTGCTTGTTTTCCTCCTCAACACTCCTGCTCCCAGATGAACTAGTACACCAGAACACGAAGCAAAGTTCAGCCCCACTTCTGACAGCCTGCCTCACTCTCTCCATTCTACTGGTGCCGATATGTTCTGGCCTCCTCTAGACATGCTCCCTGGGGACGGGCTTCAGATTGAAATAACTAATCAGAGTCCAAGTGAGAGCGTGAACGTTGCCTAGAAATTCTTGTGACTGTGTCTTTTCCCAGCAATATTCACCCCCCCTCCTCCAACACACACGCAGAATGTACCTGATGCTTCCAGTTGGGGCATTGTAATTAGGTCACCCCCCATGCAGTTTCATACCTCTGTTTGAATCCTTTTATTCACATTTTTCTCTTCTTCCCTATGAGCCCGCACTGCTAAGATCCCAGCATGTCTCATAGAAGAGACTGCACGGCTCATAAGAGAATCAGACTATCAGGACCAGAAAGGACCTCAAAGGTCATTTGTGACAACCTTTCCCTCTTCAGCCATCACAACTATCAAAAGAGAGACATCCAAATGAAACAGACACCCTGAAGCTTAAAAGGAAATTGGAATCCATACAGCACGCAACTCTGTAAAAGTAGACATTAAATTTCATTTCAGGACCTAACAAAACACAGGGGCAACTTATTGACTATATGGTATGTTGGGTATGCCCCAGACGATGTACACAATCAAATATGTCAACACTTGCAAATAGTTCACGTTTCTAGACATGACATTCAAGATCTCCTTCAACTGAATCTATTTCTATCTTGCTAGACTTAATCTCTTAATTGCTTGCTGGTTCCAGGAGACCCGTGTGCATTTCTTCCTTTGTGTTTGCTTACTGAAATTAGTATGCCCTTCCAGCTCTCTGATCTGATTAACTAAATCCTCCCCATTGTATCAGGCTTAAGAAACATATTTCCTCTGAGGCTACTTTGGCTTGGGTATCACATTGCCACACATGCATAAGTTCTTATTCCCATCCAAAAGTGAAAGGTGCTGTGAACTTTGCAATTTCTTATAGCTGCACCATCCAATATAATTTTTACTAGTCCCATATGGCTACTTAAATTTAAATTAATTAAATCATCGAGTTAATTTGATTCATTGATTAAAATAATTAATGAAAATGATATGAAATTGAAATTCACTTCCTCAGTTACACTAGCCACACTTTAAGGGCTCAGTAAGCACACATGGCAAAGGGCTTCCAAACCGGGCAGTGTTGGTGCCACATAGAGTGTTTCCATCACCGTAGCAAGCTCTATGGGATGGCTTTCATTCACAGAATAATGGGGCTCAAAGGTAAGCTTATCTAACTAACCCTTTTGAGTTAGGTTAAACTCCTTGACAAAACTATGATATTAAAAAGTCTTACCCCAAGTACTTACTCCATGGTACATATATACACCTAGGGCATAGAAAAAACCCACAACTCCAAGGCAGGCCAGAAATACTATGAACTTGAAGGCATCACTGTATAGTTTGAAGTTCAGAGGCCGGGGGTAAAGGATGGATCTCACCAAGTCCCCTTTGGCTGTATTGTAACCTACATGAAGATAATCACAGGCAGTGTAAGATCCTTTTATACAGTTTCTCCCAAACCAAGATTAGTTTGCATTGAATTAAGGATTGGTTACGAGGGTTATTTGAATAGAGAATGAAAACAGCACTGCTATGACCTAACAGTGTGTTTCCATTTATTCTCACAATTCACTGAGGACGATCAATAGCATTCCCTTAGCCCTGCTGTTTCTCTTGCCCTGGGAGTCAGTCCTTCAGTGGTTCACACTGTAACAGCCACTCAAGAGTGAGCTTGGGGAAAAGAAGAATAAGGAACTGAGGGGTGTGGTGGCCAGAGTAGAGGAGCTGCCGAGAGAAGACTTTTAAAAGTGCAAATGCCTGTTGAAAATAATAGAAAATTAAAAGAAAAGGTAAAAACAAGGCAAATAATTTCTTAAATATACATGCCTCTGGTCATGTCATTTTTATGCTCAGAAACCTTCCAGAACTCCCATTTTTTAAGAATAAAGTTCACATTTCTAAGTATGGCATTTGAGAGCCCCTTAAATCTGGCCTACCCCTTCCTTACTGGACTTATCTCTCAGCTGCTCACTGGCTCCACAAGACCTGTGTGCTTTCCTTCCTTTGTGTTTTGCAGACACAAATTAACATGTCTCTCCTGCTCTCTGATACGATTGGCTAAATCATTCTTATCTTATCAGGCTTGGCTCAAAATGCCACTTCATTAAATGTTTCCACAGTTCTACTTTTATACTTCATGTCAAAAATAGTCTCTCCAGTTTTCTGAGTCCCTGTAACGCTTGGTCTAATGACATCCATCACTTCTCTGTGCTGCAGTTAGCCGTAAATCCATTTCTCCCACACACCACACCATAAATCTCCTTTCAGGTCAAGGAGTACCTCATGATTCTTTTCTTTCACCCTCAGTGCATAGCACTTGGTAGATACTCATTAATACTTAAAGTTGACTACTGTATATTCTAGCTATGAGCCAGTATTACAAGTAGAAAACATGTCTTAATCCCACTCCCTGATGAACGTCTTGTCTTCTGAAACATGGCTTTGTAGGCTTTGGAGGGAGAAAAGGAACAGAGTTTTCTCTAATTTTTTACCTAGGCATTATACAAGCTTATATCCTGTGGTTCCCATGATCTCTACCCATTAGCTGGTGCTTTCCAGCAGGCTGAGAAATGCTCTCTTGCCTGCTGACTACTTTAAACAAAACTTATTTCTTTTTAATTTAAAAAAATTAGGTAGAACAATTGAATCATAGCTGAAACTAAAGCAGAGAGATATCAAAGTGCAAGGCGTGTTTTAGATCCGTGAATGTGTCGGGTGGCAGCAAAGCAAGTCAGAGGTGAACGTCGGAGTTGGGCCAGAGCATGCAAGGTGCTGGCTGTGTGATGTCATGTGAAAGGTGCGGGCTAATTCTAATAATCTTGAAAAGGTTTGAGCATGCTGTTCATAGACTGCTTCAAGTTGCGTTTTATAGATGTAACTTGGAGGTAGGTTGAGGAATAGGTTAGAGAAAGTTTGAACAAAATACAAGAAAACATATTTGAAGTGAAAATTGAAAATGAACAGTCAAAAGAATGTTTCTGCTGTAATAGTTGAGATGGGATATGATGAAGGCTTGGACAAAATGGGGGTGGAGAGGGAGAGAGGGCTCAGGGGGTATTCGTAGAATGGACATAGAAGGGACGTGGTGCCCTGTTGATATGGAACGAAATGGGGAGTTAAGATGATAGGACGCCAGCCAGGTGGTGACTTTGTTAACAGAAAGAAGCGATAGCGGAGGATGTGTTCACATCCAGATGCTTTGGCTTTGAAGTGTCTGCAGGGCACCCAAGGGGAGATGTCCAGGAGGGACCTTGACATAACAGCCCAGCAAGCAACTCTTCGAAAAGAAAATGTCCTCAGGTGATAGCGGTTGAAACTGTTTTCTTGATAATCACTTAGAGTGGGTGTAGAAAAGAAAAGAAGCCTACAGACACAAGAAAAGACAAAATGATGGTTTTGCCTTTGAGGAAATGTACTTTATCCTTGTATTTGCTTCATCTTCTGCAAGGGTTTTAACAATGAACTAGTCAGTTGAATATGGTGGCAAAATTGTCAATAATAAGGGCTTGACTGGAAATGAGTGTGGCTGTTTTTATCAGAATGTGGCAAACTCCATAATCCTTAACAAGATTTCCCCAAATCCAATTCCCCCACTTCAATCGTAGACTAAATTTACAAAAGTGGAGTTGACTCACCTGTTTGCAAAACGACCGCTCTTACTGACCCCTGTGCAGAGGGCTTGATCTGGACCACTTCTGTTCCGCAGAAAAGGACATGCTTTCGATAGTCTTCTAGGCTGTGGGATTTCCAGGGCTTGGTGTTCTCCACAGGGGGCAGCGGTGTCTTTGTAACAGGTATACTTTCTCCTAAAGAAGATTATATTCTCTGATTCTGTATAAATTCTAGTGAGTTATTTAGAGCCGGTGCTTGCTAGTTTCAAGAAAGTATACGAGCCACTCCTGACCCCGTCTGAATGACCATCCCTTGAGTCAGATGACTATTCATGGGTGTGTTGGTGATGCAAACTGTGGTACAATTGACTATATTTTGAATACTTATTTAAGACCTGCCTATCTTCCCCACACCTGGCCTACAAGTTTTGTTGTTTTAATTTTTAAAACCAGCCCATTTTATCAAAAAGAGTTTTTATAATCATTCCCCCAAGTGTTCTAAACTTAAGCCTAACACTATTTTAGGCAATAAAGGAGCAGTGACGCATGTGTATAATTATTATTATTTGCCTTTCATTCACCTATTTATCTTCTCTTTATTTCATTCAACAACTATTTTCAGTGCTTACTTTGTGCCAGGGACTGCTGTATCAGTGCTGGGAATATAAAAATGAACAAGACAGATAGAAATCTTGCCCTTGTAAAGCTCAGAGAGCCAGGCAGGTAAGTAGCACTAAATATTAAAACACAGTAAACTGAGTATTTTGATGGTAGTACCAGGTGATCTGAAGATCTCACCTAAACTGAGGTGAGATGTTTTCTGGATGATTAAGAAATGACAGTTTCAAAGGAGAGGAAAGCCAGCCAGATCAAGGAGAGAAAAGTGTTCTTGGATGAAGTGATAGAAAGAGCATGGTGTGCCCTGGGCGCCAGACGGTTCAGGTTGCTTGGAACTCTGATTGTGAGGGTAGAGCTGGGCAGTTCCAGAAGTAGACATGAATAAGAAATGATGCTTTCACGAAATCTACAAAATATTCTTCATGGCCTTTTTGGAGCCGGAAGTGAAAAGTAGAAACTGATAGGACAAGATAGGAACTTCTCTTTTCTCTTTCCGAATGCCTTCCCAGCTCTAAACTCATGAATTGGCACTTAAATACATAGATGACCTCAGGAGTGTCTATCTTCATATTGCCACTCTCCCGGACTCTTGTTTTGTATGTCCCAATTGTGGGTTGTTTCTCCCAGCCTGGACATCCTACTCGCTTCTCACCTCAACATACCAATATTTTTATCCTTGAACTTCCTCTCAGCTTTCCTATTTCTTTATGGTACCACTCTTTTCCTAAATCACAGCTTTACAATTCCAAAATCACCTTTACTTGCCTCTCTTCCCATACTCTGCTCTACTCGCTCATAAAAACATTCTCCAAATCCTGCTGCCTTTTCCTTATGAGTGTGCCTCACCGAGTCATTCTTGAACTGTTGTATCTAGGTCCCATGACGTCACTGGTAATTGCTGTCTGACTCATGGTAGTTGCACTAACAATGGATCAGCTGTGATTTGTTTGGCTCTTTGAAGTGCAAAAACACAATCTCTGCATGATCCGAGGCTACAGTGAAACTAACTGATCTTTTTTATTAAAAAGTTCTCAACCACAATCTGCCTTGACTTCTTGAGTTAAAAACAAATGAAAAAAAGCTTCCAGTTCTTCCTCCTATATTTCTCCCTTACTCTCTCGCTCCTGCCATACTCACAACTCTTCTGAGTCCACAACAAGCAATTCTTTCACACTAGCTGGTTGTCCTACAATTTAACTCAATTCAATTAAACCCTGACACTATCTACCTAGAAAGAGCATCAGATCCCACCGGTTAAGAGCTCAGTCCAACAAGACTGCTTCCACATCACCTCAGATGCCAACTGCAAATCCATGTTGTCACTCATGCTTCTAACCAATAAATCTGAGGTTCCCACTACCTCCCTTCCTGGGTTTGATTATTTTGCTAAGTGGCTCACAGAACTCAGGCAAACACTTACATTTGCCAGCTTATTAAAGAATATCATAGAGGATGCAAATGAATAGCCAGATGAAGAGATACATAGGGCGAGGTCTGGGAGAGTCCCTCGTGCTGGAGTTGGGGTGCATCACCCTCCTACAGGGGGAGGTGTTCATCCATCTGGAAGCTCTCTGCACCTGTACTGTTGGGACTTTATGGAAGTTTCTTCATATAGGCATGATCAATGATCAACTCTGTTTCCAGCCCCTCTCCTTTCTCTGGAGGATGGAGGGCAGGTGGTGGAAAATTCCAAACTTCTAATTATGGCTTGGTCTTTCTGGTGACCAGCTCCCACCCCGGAGCCACCCAGGAGCCCACCCAGAGTCACCTTATTAGAAAAAAAAAAGCTCTTAGTGCTCTTAACATTTAGGAAATTATCATAATGTTTTTAGCAGCTTTGTGCCAGGAACCAGGGGATATATGTAAATAAATGTATATAAATCATATATATTAAAATATATAAATGGCATACACAGAGAGTGAGATATACGTACATACATACATACAGAGAGAGAGAGAGAGAGAGAGAAGAGAGAAGAGAGATTTTTCCTATTATCTCGTACCTCTTCACTGGTCTCCCCACTGCAGCCCCTGCCCCTAGTCATCCCGTACCACCTCCAATGAAGCCTACCAAAGACCCTTTTTATCATCTCATTTTTTTCCCCAAACTCCTTCTGTTTTCCCATTACTATTGCTAATTCACATTCTCTTGCTAGGCTGTCAAAGCCACCCAAGCTCCGGCTCACCTAGGCCCCTGGCGCACGGCACCGTTACTGCCTCCTCTCCTTTGCCAGTGCCATCCTCTCCCTTCTCTGATGGCTGTAAGGCAGGATATTTAACATACAAGGAAGATGAGCTCAGAGTTCAAAAAAGATACATTTCAGAGACAAAATAAAAATGTTAATAATACTTCCTGGCTCTCTGATTTAAAAAGCACTAGAACGAATTTAAATTCCATCAGTCTTGTGCTAAATGTTTAATCAGCAAGAGAGCATGTCCTATTTCTAATGTGGAAATACTACTCTATTGATTATAGTTATACAAATTTAGGTTCTATCACTCCCTGAAGGTAATAACTGAGGACAGGGACTTTAACATGTATAACTTTTATATATTTCTCATTTCCCCTACTGGTATGTAATAGGTTCAAAATACATATTTTTGCTGAATGCAGGATTGGTAAAAAACAATTACCCAGGTTTTTTATTACTGGTTTTTCAAAACTAGTTTTCTACCATGGTACATTTTTTTATATCCTAAGGTGCAAGAAGCTATAAAATTTTTACTATTGATCTTGAATATTCTTCAGGAAATTCCTTTATCTAAGTACTATCAATCATTGTCATTTTCTTTAGAACAATTATAGCGTCCGTCCATTGTGTGGATTTATCAATTGCATTCTAAATGGCTTTGTAAAAGGGATAGAATATTTTGACAAACCTCCAGATTGCTCTGCCATGTTGTTTTTAAATCAGCCTTTGTAAAGGTAGATACTTACAGATAATTATAAATGTTGTTCTGCCTTTGGATCAGAGAATATTAATCCACAATTTATAATTAGACTAATATTAATGAATAGATTCTGCACACACAACCGACAGTATTGGAAACAGGCAGCTATTCAAGCACCAGAGATGGAAGTCATTGGAGACAGTGCTCCAGAGATAAGGTTCAAATCCGATGATCGTAAGTCTTTTTTTACCCTATTCACATATTAATAAGGAGTCTCATGCTTGGACTTTCTTGGGATCCCAAGAAAGAACGAACTCTTCTCCAAAAGTCTGGCGGTCTAAGTAGGCTAGGGAGGATTTCGAGAGGAAGTTATACTCACCATCAACTGTTCCGTTGGCTTCCAGGACCTGGAGGTCCTGGCTGCTATGAAAGGGAGACTCTCTCCCTTGTCCCCAGTGAGGCAGAGGCCTCCGCATAATGACAGTGTCTGAAATGTCATGTCCTTGTTTATTTATATTCCTGGGACCATGAGAATATAAACTGCTTGAGGGCAGGGACTATTCCTCATTTGCCTTGGTGACTGCAGCACACAATGGAGTACCTGACACACAGTAGGCATTACTGAACCCTTAGAGAGATAATAAATAAGCAAAAGGGTCAATGAAAGAAAAGGAAGAAGAACTCATAGACATGGACAGCAGTGTGGTGACTAGGGAGAAGACAGTATAAGGGGGATAAATGGTAATGGAAAACATACAATAAAAAATAAACTATTAAAATATTTTAAAGAGAAAAGGAAAAAAGTGTGAAGGGAGAAAAGGAAGAAGAGAAGAGAGGAAAAGACCTGACCTATCAACTGATTATTAGCTTATCTAACAGGATATAAATGTGAACTAACTGCTTAGGGAAATTTCTAGGTCCCAACTGGAATCAGTGTCTACTTCCACAAGCACATTTCAAATAAATCAGTAATTCTAAAAAGTTGAGGGAGAAGGAAGGGGGCTGTGGCAGAGTGAATATTACCCCTTTCACCCACAATTATCCCTGAGAATGAGGAGGCAGTAGTCATAAGCATAGGTTCTGAGGTTAAAAAGCCCTCATTTAAGTGTGTGGGTTTTTTTTTATAGAACTTAAAACTGTTGGAAGCTTATGTCATTTACTTATTTTCATGTCTTCTGTCTCCCTACCAAAATATCAGCTCCATGGAGACAGAAATTTTATCTGCCTTGTTCACTGCTGTATCCCCAGCATCTAGTACAGTGTCTGCTCCAAAGTATGGACTGACAAAACACGTGTGGAATGAATGAATGAATGAATGAACAAACGAACGAATGAACAAATGGATTCAAATCTCAGCTCGACCACTTTTATGCTGTGTGACTTTAGGTAAATTACTTCTCTGGGCTTTATATTCCCCCACCTTTATAGGGTTGTGGATTGAATGAAATAATGCATATAAAATGTTGGAACAGTGCCTAACACATATAAGAACTAAGTATAATTAGTTATTGTGCCAAGAGAAAACTTCAAAACATTAATAGAATTTCCCCCATGGTATTCCTTTTTGCCGCTTGACCACTTTGTGAGGAGCTAGACCTTGAAAGAGATCATTGCCTCAGGAGGAAGGAAAAGAGGCCAGAGGAACTGAAAACTAGCTCTTGGGTTTCAGAAGTCATTCCTAAGTTTGACCATGAATTTTAAAGACGACTTGAGAGTAAAAAGAAAGCTATCCCTTTCACCACGCTTTTCTTCTACTACTCCTCTAGCTAACTAGAAATCCCTGGGCTAGCAGTTAAAAGGCAATCAAAAGGAAACTCAGATACTGCGTGTCCCTGAGAGAAGGGGCCTGCCCCGAAGTAGGGCAGAGAAACATTCTGGACGTTTGTAGAAACTGAGAGCCAAAGGCACCTGAGTCTGCCTCATTTTCCAGGGAGATAAGCCTGCTCCATTCCCCAAGTTCAGAGCGAAGTGTGGTCACCAGAAGGAGGGGCAGCCCTTCTTAACCTCCCTCTCCAAATGCCTTGCACACATCAGGCCTCCAGACTAGCACCCGGAGAACCTGCACATTGATGGGGAGAACCGACTTACACCAGATACTCCACGTTGCACACTTCCAAGGATGGCGATGTTTGGAGCCAAAATAAAAATGAAATGTAGTTGTGAAATAAAGTGAAGCTTCCTGCAGAGTTGAGTTTACTGCAGTAGGATTAGGCTAAGGAGATGAGGAGGAGGCAGATCTTGCAACGGGCACGTGCTATGGATGGGAATACCCAGTTGCGAGAAAAAGGAGGAGAGGCACCAAAAGTGACAGCACAGTGTCGCTCACCTCAGAATCACCCTCCTCACTCCTATGGTCCCTTGTGACTGTGTGCAAATGCCACCTCCTGTTCTAATTCTCTCAGTTGCTACCTGAGCAGCTCTGGTCTCTTTTTACTTCAATTTCCTCATCTGAAAATTGAGTATTGTAATAGCTCCTAGTCTAATTTGTTTCATGCTACAATGAAGTGAGATATAAAAGGTATTTATAACATGTAAACTGCTCTATAGGTGCTAGGAGCATTTGCTGTTCTTGTTAGTATATAAAGACTTCTATGTATGCAAAGGTCTATTCTGCATACGGGGGAAAATACCTGAGTCACATTTGTAGACAAATGCTCTAGGAATGCATTTTCAGTTTTAGGAATTTAAACCTCATCTTTTTTTCAGTCAGGATCCTTTTCACAATATGTACATGAGTGGAAGTATCTATGTAGGCTGTGTAATCAAGTATTCAGAGAATGGTGGTACTTAGGTCTTTTTGAAGAAATGAATGAGAAATATTTCTGTTTTATGTATCTGTCTCTAAAACTGACTTTTTTCAGTACTTCAGTGACATAGATATTAATTCTGGCGACTGTGTTTTTCCAGAAACAGAACCTAGAACTAAAGCCACTTACCATTTTAGGTCAATTTTGCACAATTTGTTGAAAATGAGCCTTGTTTGCCATTTCTACTACTCTGGAACTCTCTGAGTTTTCCTTAGAATCAAAGCAAGAACTGTGAACCTAAGTCAGACCCAGGTGAGTAAATACAGCTTTCTGTCCTCCCCTGTTTTCTCAAACCACCCTCTCTGTCCCCAGTGAGAGAAGCCGTTCTTCACTGTCAGGCTTCTGGGAAACGCGAGACAGTCACTGCCTTTGAGTGAGGAGGACAGTTCTCGGGCTTGAGGTTTGCACAGTGGGTACTATGGCAACACTCTGGATGAAGGATATGATTAGTATGCAAATCCTCATCACTGTCATTATAAGAAAGTTAGATTTCAGCACATTAAAGGGGTATTTTGCAATTACACTGAACATATTCGTGTTTACCACATTTCCTTGTCTCAATTTTAAATTAAGCAGATCCATTTTTCATTTGAAATCTGCTTGTGTTGAACAATTTAGGGATAGATAATGACTGCCTTTACATTTAGGTGATATTAAAAAGGGGTGTGTATGTAAGCGTGCATCTTTAGCTATTTGGAAACAGAAAAATACAACAACTTTTAAGCACAAAAGACAAATAGTTTCTATTTTTGTGTTGCTATATAGTCTCTTCTTCTCTCGTTAAGATGTTCTGTGTTGTTGTTTTGCCTAACAAATATTTTTTGCAAATAGTGCCTTACTAATTACACAAATTTAATTGGACTTTATAAAGTAGAAATGAGAGCAAAGACAGTTTAAACTATAACTAGAAAACTGGCTTTCTGCTCAGTGAGGTCATCTAAAAATATGATTCTAGAGAACAGAACTGTTGTACAGCCTTTTCCCAAAGGTTCAACTCAACCTTCTTCCCAGTAACACCTGGGACTTGGGTTTCCATCCACAGAGAGCAGGGCTGGATACACTCTCTGTGCCCTGACAACTCTGAGAGTTGGTAAGTTTAGGTTGTGTTTTGTTTGTATAAAAATAAAAACCATTTGCATATTTATGAAGAGACTGTGCATCAGATACTATAGTGGTCCCACTCTTCTCAGAACCCAAAGCACCCGATTCACCCCACCTGTCAGGCTTGATTCTTTTATTGTTAAATGTTTCCCATTTACATATACTGTGTCTCCCTCACCCATCTCTCAACACCTTAGCCTGGGCCCAGTATAGGCAGTTAAGTATACATTGCTCTGCTCTGTTAACACTTGGCCTAGATGTCAGACAGGAAAGAAGCAGCTCCATGACAACTGCCTACCTGTGAGCATGCCTTCGTTCACCACACAGCTTCCATCAATCAGAACCGCATCACATGGCAGTGAAAACTTTCCTGGAAGAGTAAGGACATCTCCAGGAACCAAGAGACAGGATTCCAGCTCCTGCAAACCTTCGCAACAATACAGTTTTCATGACTATCTGAGCTTTTCCTGTTTTTCTTTTAAAATGAAAGTGACTAAAAACTCTTGTCATCTGTTGGCAATGATTACCTTGTGTGCTCACCTGATCCACTCAATCACAAATTCCCAGAAACCGGGGTTAGGGAATTGATTCCTGGGCCATAACAAAGGATTAGCTCAGCAACAAGACCCCATCTTGACCCTAGTACCTGGGACAGTGCTCTGCCCACAGAAGACACTCCAGGACGTTGGTCAGCAGAAGACTGTCCCTTTGCTGCTGCTCACTCTCTTTGGCTGAGTTCCTGACCCGCTATGGCACCCTCTGTCCTTTGAATAAGGCCTGAGGTAAACCTTCCAGACAGTGTCTGCTGACCTGGGCTCCAGCTGCTCATCCCTCACAGAGAGCCATGGCCACCTCCCGCCCCCTAGGCTAAGCCAAGAGCAAACGCTAGTGTCCAGCCAGCCATCTACAAGCCTCATTCAGGCTTGTGTTCTGGATAACAGATCAAAACATATGACACAGGGTCTGTTTGGGGTGGTTAGTTAGAGAAGTCAAGAGCCATAAGAAGGCTTACCCAGTAACATTCAAATGAGTGAAACATGGAGGGCAGAGGGAACTTGAAGCAGCCCACACACTGCGTGAGAATGGTTTAATCGAGGCCGAGATGAGGATGAGCCACGTGAGTTATGTAGGGTACCAAATTCAACACAGTTCTTCTCAGGATTCCTGCAGGTATGGGTCAGCATTTGCATGATCTTGCCTTCTTAAATTTTTCATCTCAAATGCTCTGTTTGCCTCACCTTAGCCCCAGTCCTGGGTTCAATCAAAAAAGCCTTTTTTTCTCATCGACAAGTAATAATAAATGAGACTGAATCCACCCTGAAATATTAGGATGCTAAAGATGGCAGAATTCATATCACTTACCTTTGCCTTTTACAATGACTGTAACCTGGACTTTGTTGTGATCCTCCACAAGGTTGTGCAGCTTCACGGATTGCTATCAATTGAAAGTCAACATTTAAATATTAGATAGTCTATAACCTGAAAACCACATGATCCCAGTACAATAAGTGCCAAACCGATTCTGAGCAAAGACACAGGTTCAACTTTTGATGCTCCTGCTTCCCTGCCCCAACCCCTACTTTACTGAGCACCTATTTGAAGAAGAAATATGCTCATTAGTTTACTGCTATTCCAGTCCAAGGGAAAATAATGCACAGCCACTGCCCCCCAAGGACCTGAGCTAAAGCACAGACACTTCAGTCCTGGAGGATGTTTGGTTAGACTGGGGAAGAATGCAGTCACAAACAGGCACTTCCCCCTTTGCCTCTATTTCCCTGCCTGTAGAACAACAAAGGTGAATGTGATTTGTAAGTGAATTTTCATTGTGAGAGTCTGTGAAGACTTAGATTGTGTTTGGATCGCATGTGGAACAGACATCCCCTCCTTTATGAACTGGTGGATTTTCATACTGAGTAAGTCTGCAGAGTGGAATCTGTAGGTATCCTGATGCTTCCACTTATGAGTTATTTGGCTTGTTTAACTCCTTTTTCTGCATCTGAAAGTGGAGATAACTGTATCTATTTTATAGCATTGTTTTAGTTAAGTCTTATCTTTAATTATCCATTTGGATAGTACAACTATGGTAAGAGCTCAAAGAGTGTTAATGATTAACAAGTCTTTGGAAAAACAGTTGTCTGAGTACATCAGCTGGAAAAATTTGCTTGAGGTGGAATTCACTGAGATATGACCCTGTGCAAAGCAGAGGAAATGGAAGCATCCTGGAGAAGTGGAGGCAGCTTCTCCGAAGATAACTCAGGAGGTTGGAAGGCAGAGGTGAGAGGACTGTGTTGTTCATACAGTTCCCCACACCGACTGCGGGGGGCGCCATCAGCTGGAGGGAGTGGGATGCGGCCCCCGCTGGGGCCTTGGGAGGCACTGCCCATCTCTATAAAGATGCCAGTTACTTGGATACCTCTAAGTAGAAGAGGTCTGACTACTGTTCACAGTACTTAAACACAGCTTAAGCTAATTCAAATATAAACTTTTTCCTTTTAGACGTTAGAGTAAATTACTTTTATCTGTTCTGTGGATGATTTTTAACACTACAAATGTCACCAGGCTAAGACAAGCATTATACATAATTATGCAACTTTCCTCTTGAGAGAACATAATGAATTCTGTGTTAATATTTATATAGAACAATTTATTATTTATTTCAGTTTTGCATGAAAAGCTCAACTTCAATCATTTGGACCAATTGAGAGGAAGAAGTGATGTTACCGTTCGGCACACATTCACGGCCCTAACATGACTTCCTGAGGCTTGCCTGTTGGGGTGTTCATTTTAATGATGGATAACAGTGAGGAAGTCGGCGGTTCCACGGCAGGAGCACGGGATTCCGTCAGGATTCCTGAGCTGTGGGTCAGGCTTCCCCACTAACCAGCTATGTACCATGTATCAGAAATGTCATCTTGTAAGTTAGTTGTTTTTCCTGCACACAAATTAAATTGGATCATTTCCCATTCCCTTCAAGCTCTAAAATGGCATTATATTGATTTATTTTGTATGTCAGAGATTTATTAAAAACCTCCAAGGCTCCATAGAAGAAATACCCATGGTATATAAGTGACCCAAATTATCATTCTTTTTTAAAACAGTTTACAATTTGTTATATAACTACTTTGTGCCAGGCACTGCTATAAGCACTTGGAATATACTGACTGATTTTTTAAATAATCCTATAATGAAAATGTTATTATCTCCAATGTACATATAACAGAACAAAAACAAACAAACAAACAAAAAAAGGCATCTGAAAATGTTCAAGTCACTTGCCCACAATCATTTACTTACTAAGTATTAAGAATGACAATCACACCCAGTTCATCTGACTGTAAAGCCTTTTCTATTGATGAGTATGTTTTCCTAAAGTGCTTGAAAACAGCTCTTTTTCCTTTAAGAAGATAAACATCCTTCATGAGAAATTTCGTTGAGTTATTTTCTTGCTTAGCAAACTCTTTTAGTCAATGCCATGATAACTTCAACCTAGCTTATGAGGATGATAATGAACATATTTGGAAGTGATGAAGTATGAGTTAAGGATGCTTGACTGTAATTCTCAAAACTCATTATGGCATAAAGCTGGGTTTGTTTATCAGGCTTAGCATTCTCTATAACCCGCCTTGCTTCCATGGCTTTGCTCAAGCTATTCCCTAGAATGTTCACCACAGTTTTCTACTAGCAAACTCTTCCCAATTCTTTACATAAAGCCCTGCTCAAATGTCACCTCCACTCCGTAAGTCCCTAACATCCCCAGGAAGAATTAATTGTTCTGCTCTCTGTATTCCCACCTGTATTAGTTCACTGATCACATTCCATTACAGTTATCTGTTTTCTTGTCAGAGCTCCCCTCAAGTCAGGGACTTCAAAGAAGGAACCATGGATTCACCTCAGTATCCCCTGAAGTTTATCACATAGTAGGCCCTCAGAAAATATTCTTTAATGGAACTGAATTATTCTACTTCCCCAGCAACACTGGAATATGATAATGTAAGCAACGTCTTTGAGCTAATGTACTCAGAAGCTCTACAAACACAGGTTTCTATGACAACCAGCCAGCTAGGAGAAAGCAAGTGCTGTGATGCTTGCCATGATATTGAAGCTCGCTGCCTGATTTTCATTAGGCCCCCTCTGGTTCTCTAGTCTCTGTTCAGTAGGACCAGAATCCATTTCCAAGACTAATTTGCATAGTGTTATTATTTGGCTTTTGTTGCTGTGTGTCCTTGTGTTTGCTGTGGCTGCATTTCCTCCAGAGATGAGTAACGAGGTCAGATGTCTCTTGAGCATGGTTCAGTCATGAATGACGCAGTGTGGGTTGGATATTCTCGGCTCTATTTCTAGCAGCCACCCATGGAGACAGCAGTGGAGTATGCAATGCAGTTCAATGGAAATACAGTTGAGTACCAAACTTGTTAGAAAGGGACTACGTGGGGTGCTTCTTGGCTTAGGCAAGATCAAATTTCCCTGTACAGCATGATTAGGGCTGCAGTAGATGCAGGAAGATATTTTATTCCACCCTGTTGCACCTCCCTCCTTACAAGTTTTAAAAGAATGTATTTGTTTAGCACAGTAGGGGATAGCAGCACATGCTCCTTCTTTCATTCCTACCAACATCCTTCCCCAAATTCGCTCTTTGTTATAAAATTATCAACCAATCATTTACAAACCCAAGGAAACTCATGAGGTCTCTGAAATTTTGCTCAATGGGACCATAACAATGGAAAATTGTAATGGTGGGAAATTGTAACCCACTCCACCATTCTTGTGACATTGTTTCTGTAAGTGCTGACTCTAGTATGTAGCTTGTAGATAAACAGCATGTTTGTATAAGAATCCTAGGAACTAACTACAAAGGATACAGACTATGACCTTCAGGCAAGGCATCCCAGCTCCAGGAGATTTGGGGACCTTCATCCATGGAGCCAGGCTGACGTGGAGCCAGGATAATGCAGACCAGCCTGTCACTTGCCTTATGAGAATGGACCGTGCTAGTCTGCACATAGAGAACTTTCACCCTCTTCACTTGATCTCTTTGCTCTGCTCCCTTCTCCCTCTTTATGAAAACCTCTGCCTCCACCGAGAGGTAGAAATGGGCTTTGAGACAAGAGCCCCCCATCTTCCAGGTAGCCAACACCTGAAAATAAACCACTTTCCTTTATATCAGCACCAGCCTCTTGAGTATTAGCTTTCACAGCAGCAGGCAGCTAGACCTGCATTCAGTTATAGGACAGTTTGTTGTTCTTGACGTGGAGTTAGGAAGGTTGGGGCTAAGGTCTACGGCATGAGCAAGTCTCTTCATCTCTCTGAATCCCCTGTCCTTCCCTTTCAGGTGGTGGGAGGGAGAACAATTATATGTGTATCATTTTATGTTCACATGCCCCCCTACACACAGCACAAACATTATGGATGTGGGAGCCATTGCAAAGCATAAAGTGCTCAGCAGACATTGACTGTTGAGGATTTGTGATTTAAACTGCAAAGGTACAGTTTCAGGAAGCTGGCCCATTTTGTATAGTGTCACAGGATGCTTTACAGGTTGGGCTGGATAAGCTTCTATTAATAAATACTAACTGCTAATAGGATTAGTGTCTGCCTCTTTAAAAAATCTTTTGCAACACTACCATCAAATCTGAAGTTCCCATGTTAGTCAGTGTTTTGAGCACAGGCATTTAGGAATTCTGTTAAAATGTAGAGCTTAAATGTTTAAAATCCACTAAGGATTTTTAAATAAATATTTTTAAAATTACAAATAGAAAAAATTTCGGAAGAGGATACATTTAAAAGCAGAACAAGAAAACCAGAAACCATAAAGAAAAGATAAATATATTTGATTAGCACACTTTTAGTATCTGACAAAGGTCAAGGTCAAGAAAAGAAAAAAAACTAAAAAATAAAATTTTTCCATATGTAATGGATCTAAAGAAGCAGTAAATAGAAAAAATACAAATATATTAGACAAAGAAAAATGTACCTCTTTTCACTAAAAATCAGGGAAATGTAAATTAAAACATCAACAAGATATAATTTTTTAAAAATATATTAGATTGAAAAAATTTAAATATCAACATATAACACCAAATGTTGGTGGAGATCTGGGGAAATGAATGCTATGATGCTGATAGGAAAATAAATTATTTAATTTGGGGAAAATAATATCAATATTATTAGCATATAAAAATACATATTTTGGATTTGGCAACTGAGCTAAAAATGTAAATATTAATATGTAAGGACACACCTATATTATAGTTATATTTAATTCAACACAGTTGTGGTGGAAAAAATTGAAGAAGGAGCTGATTATTTTTCATAAACAAGAGAATGATTGAGTAAATTATGGTACCATGGATTAGCACACCATTATTTTTAAACATCATCTAGAAGTATTTGCTTACTTGGTGGATGGCCATTTTATATATTGTAAAGTAAAAAAAAAAAAAATGCAAGTTCCAAATTAATGTCCATAGTAACATCCTCCTTTAGTAAAACAAACTAATAAATACATAAATAAATCTCCATAAAAACTTGTATTTCTGTGTATTTTGTAGAGTAAAAACAATGAAGAAACATGTTCAGGTAATTAGATAGATAGATAGATAGATAGATAGACAGACAGAAAGAAAGAAAAAGGTATTTGAGATCTTAGTGTTTGAATTTATCTCTTGGTGGATTCCCCTAAAACAATAGCCCTTAAACCTTTAGAATACGTAACAATCACCTGTTATAAAACAGTTAAAAAGTGAAGATTCCTGTTATTACCTTGAATATTTTGATTTAATAGGTCAAGAACTCAGGAAATCTCAAGTAATTCTCTCACTGAAACATGGCTCTAGAGTACAGAATCAATTCTATTTTTTTTCCTACAACCCTTCCCCTCTTACACATACATTCCTATTTCTTTTTGGTTTCCTTAAAGAAAAGTAAACCTGAGTTCCAAATGAAGGAATGGACATTGTAAAAGGATTTCAAAAGAGAGACTTTGTCAATTTATCATAGACACAGAGATGGGAAATGTGTAGGACAAAGACAGTATTTAACTCAGGGCAAATATGTTGGCTTGTCTAAGAGGCATAACAGATCATTTACTTGGGATGCATTGACTGTAAGTAACATAAACTTGTTAAATTGGTTTAGGCAGAAGATGAGAATTTAGGAGGGTGTAGGGATGTCTTATGAACCCAAGGTGGAAGGTGCAGACAAGTCTTCCAAGGGCTCTGAATAGGAACAGGAAATTCCATGAGGACCAGGTTCCTCTTTCTGTCTTTGCTGGACTGTGAATTGCTCACCTCTGTGTCTCACTGTATATTTGGTTCATTCTTTTGTTCTTTCTATGCCGAAGTTTTTTTCCTCTACTTGTCCATACACAGCGAGCAAGTGTGGCTATCCTGGTCCTGGCTATATGTCATTTCTCAGATCATGATCCTAACTGAATATGAGTAGCAGCTTTAAGCCCTTATTTTAAGATCTCAGGCAAAAAGTTATGTTGGCATCACTCCTGTTAATGGATTGGATTTCACTGGGTCAAGTGCCCTTCGTATCAAAACACTATGGTGATGAAGGGACAGAGCCATGTAGAACAAACCAGTTGTAGGTTGTCACAGCTCTGGACACACACAATTTTCAGAGAAGATGAGCAAAGATGGAGCACTTCCCCCAAAATTTGTGTACTTCATGCCATCTTTGTCAGAGACTAGGAGGCTGGAAGGAGTAACCCAAGTTCTTGGGTCCAGCTCTTGATACAGCCCCTCTGTACTTTATGTCCTTGGGCTCCATGAGCTACTGATACATATTTATAATATGTATGCCTTTTGTGGTTAAGGTAGTTTAAATAAATTTCTATTATGTGCACAAATCCTGATTAAGTAGTTTACTTGGATAGTTAGTCCAACATCTATTAGTATCCTACAGTAATTGATTCAAGTCTGCAACACAGGTTCCGAGCTTTCCTGTGGCCAGAAAGATTCTTATTATTGTTTTAAAGTTTTCAAGGGCTCTATTTTTGCATTCTTTATTGGTAGCTGTGGAAAAATGATAGAATCCTAAAGAAGTGGGGCCTAAAGAAAATGAGGTTAGCCTCCACCATTTACAGCTGAGAAACCCACACCCAAGCAAGAGAGTCTGTAGAGTCACACAATGAATGAGTCACTAGTCATTGGAAGCCCTGTCATGGGGTACATCTGTGTTGCTTCCTTGTTCAAGTTATGTATAGGGCTCCTCCTTCGATCTCTGTGCATTCTCCCATCTTTCCATCACTTACTTCTCCACTCCAGAAATAATAATGTAAACAGCAACAGCAACATCAATGACAAGAACTAACATTTGGCACATTAGGTGCACTAACATAATGATAACAAGAACTAATATGCATGAGGTACTTGGCACGTAAGTTCTGGCTATAATATCAAACACACACAGACACATACAAACTCATCTTACAGATGAGGAAAGCTGATGATTATTAAAGTGTCAGGTAACAAATAGGAGGTGTGAGGGGGAGATTTTTAACTTGACTAGATTAAAATATCCCTGCCAAAAGTTCTGAGTGTTCTGTACTTTTTCTCAGAACCCTGAGATGGTTTGCGATCATATATTTTGGTGCTGGTGTGTACATGTCTTACCAACAGAATAAAACACACAGTAGGAAGCACTGTACTGATGGATGTTTGACTTAAGCCAGAAAGGTTATGAGTGACTTGCAGATACCAAATTAAATGTTCTGTTAAAGCAACAATTTCTCAAAAATCAGTTACTAGAAATTTGATTTGGGGACTTCACACTATATATCTTTATCAAATGACAAAGGTAAAAGTGTGGGACACTGTAATTTCCCACTGTGGCTGAGCAAAATGTGTCTAATCTTGTATTGTCCTGGTGTCTGTTTTCATGCTTTTGCTCAAATACTCTGTGTTCACCAGGACAGTCGCTCTGCTCCCTGGCTTGACAGACAGACAGAAAGGATTAGCAACCATCAAAGGGAGGTTACTGGTCACTCTTAATATTTTTGTGGTTTAAATTAGTTCATGAGGGAAAACACTTAGTTGCTCTTTCAAAAAAGGAAACAAATAACCAAAATGAAGTCCTTCTAATTCTCACTTTCAAAGTAGCTCTGTTCATTTAATCTTTCATTTTTAGGTCTTCTTTCTAACTCTTTGAATATATTACCTTTATTTTATTTCTCATCAAACACTTAATAACTCAAAATTTGTAGAATCGACCACGAGATAAAAAGCCAATATTAGATCTAATATTTATTGAGCAACTGAAATAGAGAGGGAATAAAGTTTCTTTCCATTAGTCTTGTTTAAACGCCTCCATGTCTGCCTTCCTAACATGTGGCCAGAGTTTACCTTGCCAACAGTTAGAATTCATTTCTCCTCTCACACTTATGTTTGACTTCATCCCCAGCTATTGTGCTACTTTGGAATGGGCTTTCTGCTAAGGAAATAATGCACATGCAGTAGAATTTCATTTTATGGGAAGCCAGAAGCTCTGACTCTGTCACCAACTCACTTTATGATCTGGAACCACCTCCCGGTATCTTAGTAACCTCTTCTCCAGATGAAGACTGAAGTGTGAGACTGGATGGTTTCAACAGTTTCACAGAGTTGACAGGCTGACACAAGTACCATTATTCACCATGTCTAAAAAGCAAGTCTACAGCCAAGCTTTTGAAATATGCAACAGTTAGACATTCTTTGCTGTTGCCTGATGATTTAGTTCGATGAATCCTAAGCAAAACAGTGGAACATTTTCTAGAAAGATGTTACGGAAATCTGAAATTTAGAGAGGCTGTAGAGTTACAAGAAATATTTGGCTAAATACTCTTTCAGAATGTGTTGATATGTCTTTTATAAGACTTTATTCTTAAAGGAAGATTTTAAATGGCTATAAGATGAACAAAGATGGAAAGAGAGTGGTTATAAACTCTGAATTTACTATTACCAATGGGAAGGATTTGCATTACACAGGAATCTAGGAATCAGCAGGACAACCCAAGAGGGGCTTCAGGAGTGAAGGGGAACGTGAAGCTCTCAAAAAAAACATGTTCTGATTAAGAATGTGCTTGTACCTAGAGAAGACTAAATTGGGGTTCACAATGGGAGAACATTTAGTCTCAAAAAAATAGCATATCTTACAACATGAAAGAACATAGACTGAAATACTGAATTAAATGAGCTCAAAGAAAGAGGGTTTAGAAGAAGATGAAAGCATGTGGCACTGCAATCTTCTGCTTCCAGCTGTCCCAGCCAGGGTCTTTTGGTGGATATTGACATGGACATTAGTAAAGAAGATCTCTCTCTTCATCTGGGATCATGAGCCTTGAAGAGAACACACGCATACCTGGGACTGCTATGACCACCTTTGCCACTGTGCAGAGAGTCTCTGTCTGGGTGTAAAGACCAAGTATAGTAAAACATTAATTCTCAAGCCATAATTTATAGAAAAATGTTGGGACAGTATCAAATTACTATAAAAAATTCATAAATGCATACTATCAAGTTCAGTAGTCTTCATTGAATCTCAGACAGATAACAAAGAGTTTGTAGACTAGCATCAGTCCATAGACCATACTTTGAGTAGCACTCTGGTAAAGTTGGGTGAAGAGGTAAAGAAAAACATATTCCTAATCATTGTTTGAGTGCTGTACCTGATACTATCCATATCCAAATGAAAACACCCCTAAAATGTCTTGTATGAGTTGCTTAATTTCGTTTAAGCTGGCTTTTGTCACTATAAACTTGAAACAGCCTTGACTAAAATGCATGTTTATGTTGTTGCCAACAATTCTCCTAAAACTATGGCTGGCATCATTAATCCGTCACAACATTCTTTCCCATAATATTCACACCCAGCCTCAGAATCCTTCTAAATTTAATATTTAATACAGCCTTCAGTTGATAATAAGAGTTGCAAAGACATTTAAATCTACCTAGTATTCCTGCAGCTATCTTCCTGAGATCTCACATTTAGTAAGTCCTTGCTTTTTTCTTTGTTATGGCATATGTTTAACAAAAGCAACTCCTTGCTGTCAATGGAAATGTCATAGATTTTGCTTCTTATCTAGACAGAAAATAAATAGCATACAATTGTAATTTCAGCTCTTACCTGTCTCAGATCATATACACTTAAGACAATGGAGAGAACAGACAGGATGATGATGGCCACAGAGTATTCTATGTAACCTTGAGACAGCCACAAAGTTAAGGTAAAGGCTTGGAACACATAAAATGGATTTAAAACCTGCAGGTACAAAAATAACATTTAGGTCACTTGCATAGATCTTAGTAGCTGTCAAGATGATGTCATTTCTTTATAGAATGACATTTCCCATTTTTTACAACATACAACAACCTCTGATACTTAAGAATGCACTTAGAACTCCATTAATTTTGGTGGAGACAGTGTCAAGCACATAGAGTATAACATGGTAGAAACAAAATTATTTTAAGCACTCAAAACCGTGCCCACAAATTGATCATTCTTATTATTTTTGAACTTTCAAAAATATGTTACCAATAACAAAATCCAACAACTTACCTTTTTAAACAGTTTTACCCATAGTGGTAAGGAAACATGATTTAGTTTCTTTTAAAAACCAACTTCAATTTTGAAGATTTTTATTGCAGGTTTTATTTTAAATAAAAAAATGTACCACACGCTATAGGTTCAATGAAGCTGTGCAATAAAAATTAAAGAATCTACTTTTATCTGAGTCACTTTTAAAATAACATACTCTTATGTCATATGTCTTAGCAAGCTCATCTGAGAGTCAGTCAGTCAGCATAGGCCTTCCCTTGAACAGGAAGAACAGTGAAGAGAAAGGTCTTATCCCAGTCTGCAGTAAAAATCACAGGCCGAATGTATTGCCAGCCTCAAAGCTGGTCATCCATGCAGGTATTTTTTGGTAATATCCTCAAATTTTTTTCATTCCTCATTTCCCCAATGGTGGCCCTGCTGTTAATAATGGTAGCACAGAGGGTGACCTGATAGAGTAGAGCAAGAGACAGTCATGTGGCACACACAGCGTGTGAGAATCAAAGAGCTTCTCTGAGCAAAACAAGGACTCTTTTCTTGGTGAAGTGTTCTTTATGATGATTATAGATTCGATGAAATAATTAAAACCAGTGCTGTTCTTTCTTACCTCTCCTTTCTATAATTCTCTAATTATTAAGTAAACTTCTATTTTAGACCTAAAAATGAACTGATATCTAAGGTAATAAGGTAATAGCCTGTATCTTAAGAGTTTCTTAAACCCTTGGATATTAAAGAAGCGTTTGTTCTTTAATGGTTCTTATTATTTTCATTGTACCAGGCTTCTCTTACAAATTATAGCTTTTCTGTTTTCTTGGCATAAAATGCTCTAATTGTAGATTACGCACTAATGATAATACAGTTTTCAGTTTTATACAAACTCGGTAGAAAATTGGTTAAATACTTCTTGTAGAAGAAACAGAACCATCATAATTAATGTAGTCCCCTTATTCAATATGCTTTTGAAATCAAATGTGAAAAAAGTTTTACTTGCTTTTTTTTTTCTGCTAAAGGCCTGGTAAGTTTGTGCCAGAAACACTAGCAGTCCTTTCAAAATACATCAGTTGACACCTGGGAGAGTCTTTAGCAATTTGAAAATGTACTTGAATAAGAAGTCTAAAAAGCAGCCTGCTTTTCCAAAGTGGCAGAGGCTATATATGTGGGGACATGGGTTATATCGGAAATCCCTGTACCTTCCACTCAATTTTGCTATGAATCTAAGAGAAAAAGTCTAACAAGAAATTTATTTTATAAAAGATGTGACCATGCTCAAAAATAAAATGACCATCTTTGTGGACTATAAATAGACTAGATATATGCAGTTGAGTGGGGGTTAATGTAATCAGCCAACTAGGTTCCAGACAAAGACAAAGGAGTGATAGCCAGAAGCTTAATTCTAGGGGGAATAAGATAGAAAGCTACCCATAGGTGGCAGGGGACAAAACCCAAGCGTGCAGGGGAAATCAGGCGCTGCAGTGGGGTTCCCCTTCCCAAGAGTAGAGGCTGAGGAAAGTCCAACAAGCAGTGGTTCACCAGCAGAGAGTGATGTAGGAGAGAACAGAGCTTGTAGTGCCACTGAGACCTGGTTTAAGCCCCAGCCTGGCTCAGGGCCTGCATCTAACAGAGAGATTACCAAGGGACAGGGCCCAAATCTCCAGTATAGACCTTAGTTCTGAATTAGGGACCTGAGGGAACCACCAGTAAAAGGCCAATGCAGAGCCATCAAAGAGCAAGAGCGAGATGAGAAAGGCAAAATGAAGGGGGAAAAGTCCTACTTGAGGTGAGTTTACCAAAAAGATAAAATAAAATAACTTCAAAACATACAAAGAAAATATGTCAAAAGCAAATTAATTAATAAATTAAAAAACCCTGCTAATAAAGGAAGAAGTCATGCTCAGGAAATGGAAAAAGCAGAGAAATATAAAAAAGACCAAAACAAAACATCTAAAATCCTCAAAAATATAATAGAAATCATAACATTGTCCCCCCAACCATAGTACCCATCAAAAATTTAAGAAAACAAACAGGCGATTATGAAACAGAACTTTCCCCTCACACTAGGAAGAGATGTTTTTCAAGCAGATTTGAATTTAAAACAAGTGATTATTGAAAAGGGCCAGTTAGAAACCCTGGAACAAAAATATATATATTTATTAAAATATTTTTTAAATAAAGAAAACCTACATAGATTTTTTTTAAAAGCATAGATTAGAGACAATGGGGAATAACAAAAAGAATTCACATAAAACATATTTTGTTCACATCAAAGAACACATGTGTTGCTTAAGATTCCCCTGAGCAGTAAAAAGTTAAAAATAAAGAATGGGATAAGAAGAGAGAGAACTGAATGTTTGGAAAGACAGCCAAAGTAACCTGCTTAAAAAAATAAAAAAATGAAAAGGCTATTGTAATGGTTCATTTTATGTGTAAACTTGGCTAGGCTATAGTGCTCAGTTCAGTCAAGCACTAGACTAGATATTGCTGTGAAGGTATTTTGTAAATTATTAACCTTTACAATCAGTTGACTTTAAGTAAAAGAGATTGGCCTTGATAATGTGAGTGGGCCTCATCAAATTAGTTGAAGGCCGGAAAAGCAAAAACTGAAACTTCCCAGAGAAGGAATTCTGCCTTAAAAAGGTAACATAGAAATCCTGCCTGAGTTCCTAGCCTAGCAACTGCCCTACACTTTTCAGACATAGAACTGCAACATCAACTTTTGCCTCAGCTTCCAGACTGCCCTATAGATTTCAGGTCTGCAAGTCCCCATACTTTTGAACCAACTCCTTAAAATAAATCCACATCTATATCTACAAAAAAAAAAAAGTAATGGATGGGAAATCCCCCCCCCCAACAAAAAGAAAAAACAATAGTTAGTTACCTGTTTAACAAGCAGCTTCCATATGGGTTGGATTTCAACTTCAATGGCATTGGGCCCACACACTAATCTTCTGTAGGAGATTGATCATCTATTAGTGTCACATCTACAAATTCATAAGTAAATGAATATACACCAAACTAAGCAGAAGGCACTTCTCTACCTTTTGGGGATTTTGTACTTTTAATGAACAATTAATGCATAAATACTAAAATACTAGTATATTTTTAAAATCAGTCAGTGGGTGAGGAGCAAAGTTTTTTTCCTGGTTAAAAATATCTTAAGAATAGTATAACTCAAGGGCCAAAATGAAGTTAGAGAGGTATTTTGCATTATTTTTTAAATAATTTGATTATACTCTAAGAGAAGCTAAAAAACACAGATATGAAGATGTTTAAGCATTCTAGATTGCTCTTGATGTCAGAGATCATGTCTATCTTATGCTGGTATCTCCAGCACCTAGGGACAGGCCCTTACTATATGAACTCAACAAATACATGAATAAATGAGCTAACAAAAAAGGAGATCATATATGGTCTTCCATATATGGTTCAGAGACAACTCAATCCAAGGTCTTACGGCTCCATGGCATGAAAACACTGAGGTTCGGGGACATTGAGAAGCAGAGAGCTCAAAATGCATGTGCTGCTGTTTGACTTCGCAAGTCCCCAGTCCTCACATTGGGACAAGACCATAACTCAAGTCACTTGGGTGCTCAGGATTCTTTTCCAGGATCCATGGAAATACTTTGTTGATGGCCAAGGATTAGGGCTTCTCAGGATCCTGAACTTGGTCTTCTCTCCCTCACTTTCTCTGGCTAGAATGCCCTTCCCACATTCTTCACGTTGTAAATGCCTTCTCCGCCTTTGGGAGCCAAATCTGGCAATAGAGCCATTGGTTGGAAATTGTGAGATCTAACAGACCTGGGTTTGAATCCTCGCTGCTTTCTCCACATGGAACAAGTATCCCCCGACATCTTTGCCTGGCTCACTCCCTCATTTCATTCAGGTTTCTGTTCAAATAACACCTCCTTATTGGAGCCTTCCCTAGTAATTCTGTTTAAAATAGCTACCCTAACCTCCAAGTCAGATTCTTTATATCTCCTTAATCTGCCTCATCTTTCTTTAAAGTGCACTTGATAATCTAAAATTATATCTTATTTTTTCACATGCTAATAAGCATACAAACAATAGACTGTATCCTCCACTATAATATAAGCTTTTACAGGACATTGACAGACCCTGAATGTATAAAACAGGGCCAAATACATATACTACATTCAAGAATTATTTGTCAAATGAATGAATAGATGACTGAGAGGTGAACCTCTGTTTCTCATGCCTAAAAATGGGCTTGATAATACATACCTAATAAAATTGCTACCAATAACATGTGAGATAAATATGTAAAGCATTTAGCACAAGTGCCTAGGACATGGCCAGTTCTCAATAAATAGCAGTGTTGCCCTGGCCAGTTAGCTCAGTTTGTTAGAACGTTATCCCAATATGCCAAGGTTGCAAGTTCGACCCCTGTTCAGGGCACATAGAAGAAGCAACCAATGAATGAATAAATGAGAGCAGCAAAAAAATCAGTCTCTCTGTCCATCCTTCCCTCCCTATCTCTCTAAAAATCAATAAATTTAAAAAAAAAACAGTTTTTTTTAAATAGCAGCTGTCTTTGAAGTCCTCTACTCCCTTAGACACAATTAACTATCTTTTTCTCTCCATGAAACAACCCTTCTTTTCTTAATAACAGCACATACCTCTTTGAATTGTTACATATAATTACATGTCTTTCCTCTTAAATTTCCTAGATACTCCTTAATGGCAAGAATGGAGATTTCTCAACTCTGTTTTTCTAGCATCTAGTGGCACAGTGTCTGACACAGAGACTGTTCCCCAAATATTGGACTTAATCAGTGAGGACCTTTGTGGCCCATGTCTGTAATACCCTCTCCCCTAACAGGGCTGAAAAACCAGTTTACAGAACTCCAGCTGCACACAGGCTGTGGAAATACAGCTTAGAAAATAAAAAGCCAAAGGCTCAATGCACTTCCACTTTCTCTATGTGGGGAGATGGTTCCTGATGGTGCTGGTAAGGAGAGAAACCCAGCACCCATGAGGACAGAGATCCAGAAGATTAATGCGTATCTGTAGATTATCCTTTTTAGGGCTTTTCTGGGCTCTGTTTGAATTACAGCCGGGCATGCCCCTTGCTGTTTCATCTTTTCCAGTATCTCTTGCCAAAAATATTGTGTATTTACAGACTATGGACTCTTCTTAGTCTCAGCACAAGCCAAACAGAACTTTGAAGGACGCTGACCAATGGCTGAGCAACCAGCAGGAACATGAGGCTTGAAGCTGGGTCCCCCAAGGAAAGTTGCAAGGAAAAAGCAGATTACATGTCCTGACTTTAAAAATCTGATTAGCTGGCAGGGGGAAAAACAATGAATTACTCCAGGTGGCCTTATAGTACTAAACAGGCTGAATAAAACCAAGTAGACTTGCCTAATATTCAGAACTATTCATTATGGGAATAGTGGCTTTGGAGGTAGAAAGTTCCTCTTCAAAAGAGATTGAAAAATTTTTCACAGGGAAGTTGTGGAGAGAATTTCTGCACCAACTGTGAGCTAGACTTGAAGGATTACTGATATTTCCTGCAACCATGAGATATTAATAAATCTGCTGTAATGTACTTATTTCTAAAAAACCAAATGTAAGTGAGAATACTTTCTTTTGGAGATGGTCTATGTCTTTTTAAAATTCGATCATTCATTCATGTATTCATTCATTTAGCAATTTGTTAACCAAATAATTGTTGAGAATATGTTGTGTGCTATACACTTCAGACTCCAGATGGTGAAGACTAGAGTGGTCCTCGAGGGAGAAAGACTGTGTCAGAGTCACTGATGAGCTTTTTCAAGCTACACATGACTGCACTGCTTCCATATGGATGAGCCACCGATAGAACGGAAGGGAGATCTGTAGTTTTCCGCACTGTTAATGCTATGCCAGGGGATTCTGGCACAAATTCTGAAATTCTTAGGGAGCAGATTTATGGGAATTTTTAAATTCCCAGGCATGAATATCTGGAAAGCAGAGGAGCAGGAGGGCATGGGGTGCAGGTGGGACTAGAGAAAACCCAGACAAGATCTCCCCAGGGAGACCCAGGACTTAGGCTTACTGGTGCCACCAGGGGCCTTTGCTCTAGACAAGGCATTGAAATTAAGTGATTTTATATGCTGAATGGATCCAGATCCATAGAACCGAGGGTAAGACAAACACAATTTATTTAAAAAGAAATGTTGATCTCACTGGTTCATTTAATTTGTATTAAATGCCCCCATGCAAAGTGTCACATTTAAGTCATGTATTAACTTCTTCCTGAATGTTAAACATTGCCTCTCTCCTCCACTCCCACCATCCCTTCCTTCCTTTTCCTAAGCACTCACCTGATGGAAGAGTGTCTACAATAGGAGTGTTTCCTAGGGATGAAGCTTTCAAAGAAGATAAAGTCATGGTATATAAGCATCATTTCTTTTCTGATTTTGCTCCCCAGAAGAACTGAGGGGTAAGAAAATAGGGTCCCAGAACAGCCCTAACCTCTTTCTCCCTGCCTCCCTCTTGATTCTTCTTTCACTTTCTTTCAATCTCTCTCTTCTCCTGGAAAGCCTCCACCAGCTTGGAACCGAGCATGAATGGTATTTCCTGCCTCCAGCACCGACGAGCATGCCCTTTCACTCAATGGTGTGACAAATGTTGAGACTTATGGTTGGCCCTGCAGAATCACTGAGCCTAAGGAGAGCATCTCCTTCCAGCTCCACATTCAATGACATCACACCAGTGGCTTGAAATCAGCCTTGATTGGAGGAGTCCCATTATAGAAACTGGCAAACTCCACCAATGAAAGCTTTCTTTCTTCCAGAGAGCTGGGTTACCAACAAGGTAATTTGTCTGTAGCTAATGCCATTAGAAGGTGCCTGCTATCTCTGCTGTCCGAAAGGTCCCCTTCTCTTTTCAGGAGATTAAACAAAGGAGGCAAGAGGAGGGTGGCCTGAACAAAAAGAAGATGAAGAGATGCTTATTTTAAAAACTGTCCTAATAGGAAGAGTACCTGATGAATGGGGAATGAGATAGGTTTGTTTATTGATAGGACCCTGTTTCCATGAGATAAAAGGACTACCTCAAGTGTCCATGGACCTGTCTAGGACAGGTCGAAGAGGGCAAGTTGCATTGAGTCCATGAATGAGTGAAGCTAAGAACAGAAAACATTCTGGAATGATCTTGTTTTCTTTCTGATGACCTCTGATAGTTTCCAGGATAAAGGTATTTCTCATGATGAATTTGCTTTTTGCTACTACAAAATGAGAACTATGTAAATCTGTGTATTTTTTTCCTCTTCTCCTGGCTACTGAGAAAACTAAAGAGAAGGTTGCAGTTAGATTCTGTGGCTTTTCATCATCAGAGACTCTTATTATTTTTATTTCTTTATTTCTCATCTTATGCCCTTAGTTTCATGCAAGCAAGCCCAAGGAAATTAACACCACTCAATCAATCATGTTTATTTTTTTTAAAGGGTTAGTCTCACACTAAAAAATAAGGAAAAAATTAGGGGGGAAATACTCCACCTTCTATTTACTGTCTTTACCCTCCAAATGGTTAAGCCCATAAAATAAAATATACCTATGTGTTTATATTACGTCCTCTATTCTTCATATTTGAAAAACTATATGCTCTGTCTTGCTTATTAGATTGTCAAGTTCTTTATTGCATAGACCAGATTTCAATTTAATTATGTATGATGTTTATTAAAGCCTGGCACTTGATAAATAGGGACAAACATGAGGTGGCTGCACTGACAGAAATCTCTCCTGCAGAAATGCTTCTCTAGACAGTATATCTACATTTATCATCGAGATTTCCTAAATGTCCTCGATCAGTCTTTTAGAGTCCTGTGCTTAATGCTACTAAGGCAATTATGTTTTTCATGACTTTGGAAACTTTTTGTATTTCAATATATTAAGCATTGCATCTGAAATCTTTTATAATGCTACCATTTCTAAGGCATTTTGCAATATTGTCACAGTCTAGAGGCTTGATTCATTTTTTCATAGTGTTCAGGCAAAGACAAAACATAAAAACAATAGCAGATCAGTAATTCTCAGACTTGGTGTACATGAGAATTTCGGGGGTGCCTGCTAATTATGCAGAGTTCCTTCTCTCACCACTGCCCCCAGCTCCCACCTACTAAATCAGAATTGTGGGGATAGAGTCCAATAACCTGTATTTTAAGTGCTGGATGGCTTCTTTGCTTGTAAATTAGTGTTTCTGCCAAGAGGGTCAAGCAGATAATGTCCCTAAAATTGGTCAAGAGATGAAGCCGATTATTAAAATTCAAAGGAAGTCTTGCAATGGTTTTCTTTCAGATTCATCAGGATTCACCACTTCAAATTATAGGTGAGGAAAGCAAGGACTCTAGAGCACCGTGAGTTAATGAGAAGCATAAGCACTTTCTTTGCTACTACTATTATTTCTTAACCTATGCGTCCCTAGACACATCGCTCTCACTATTGTACAACTATTCTTTATCTCTCTTTCCTACTAGTCAGTAAATCTCTTATTTATCCTGACCTCCCTAGTGTTTTGCAAAGTGGCAAACACTGACGTACTAGAGGCATTTAGTTAACAAGTATAGGAATGCATTCATTTATTCATTCATTCCACAAATATCTGTTGAGCTTCTCTCCTGCATCAGGCACTGTCCTAGGTGCTGCAAATGCTGTGATGAATGACACAATTAACTAAACAAACAAAATCCTCATCTCCAAGGGCTGTTCTTTAAAGTAAAATGCAATCAGAATATTGTCTTTGTCTCTGAGGATTTGGAGGATTAAGAAGCTGATGTTTATGAAATGACTCAAGATTTTTTTGAGAGAAAAAATTAAAAAGACAACACAGAGAAAACTGTTGTATAATCCTGAAAGAAAAGATCAGATGTTATTTGATTGCATTGTTCTTTTAGTCTTTTCTTTTTAATAAGTTTGCCTATGACATAAATAATTTAGAATATCTTTTCTGATGCCAGTAAATGAGCTGGGATTATATGAAGTTGATGAAGCATTATGCCAACAATTCACTGATTGCAAGCCATATGATGTTTCAGTTTCTGCTGGCAAAGTTCACTCAGGGATTATTGCAAACCCTACCTGATCTCCTGCTCTTCACTTGTGAGACCCATTCCAAACATATGATGGATGTCGTAACAGGAGTGGCTGTCTTCCAGCAACCTAGGATGTGGTCAGGACAGGAACCACATTCAGTTCATGGCATACAACAAATCAGTGTTCTTCCCTTGTATCCTAATGTAGAACTGAGAAAAAGTCAGACTTACCCAACTTTCTGAAACCTCTTTTCCAAGTTGTCCCAAACATACTTGATTTTCTGCACTTGGATAGATCGTAGCTGCAATGACAAATGTGATAAGACATCAGTCATTCTCAAAGTGAAGATCATCAGGAAAGAAGAGGCTTGTTTAATGCAGATCCCCACATAGCTCTAGCTTTCCTTAATACGTAGCTGTGATTACCAATCCAGCAGTGCGATATCCAAACTTCCATCTAATAAACACGCACATTACTCATTTCTAGCAAAAACATACTAGACAATGCACTCTCAGAAATCACTTACTTTTAACTCTGGTTTCAGTACTGCTCGGTTTATGACAGAGTGGCGGTCAGCTACAAGGGGCTGTTCTGGGTTTTTGCTTATAGGAAACTTGAGTGTGGATAAGTAGATGCAGATTACTTTCTTCCTCATGTATCTTTGAAATTCATCCTAGAAAAGACAATCCAGCCTGTAAAATTCTCAAATGTTATTCAATAAGGCACTTGATCAACCAAAAACCTGCCAAGTGCCAGACCAGTGCTTCCCACAGTTCGGGCTGCAGACAAGAGTGCTAGCATTATCTTGGAACTTGCTAGAAAAGCAAACTCTCAGTCCCACCCCAGACCTACTGAATCGGAAAGTCTGGGGTTAAGGCCAGCAGACTGCGTTCGAAAGAGCCCTCCAGATGATTCTGGTTTGCACTAACATTTACCCTTCGCTGTGCTGGAGAATTAAAGAGAAAAATGCACTTTTCAGGAAAACTTTATATTCAGAAAACAATTTCTGGCCTTCTTAAATTCACACCTACATGTTTAAAATGTCCAATTTCCCTCAAAAGACCTATTTTTGAAAAATTGAAAGATCATTTCCATGTTATATTTCTAAGAGTCATAATAATGACAGCCACTGTTCATGTAATAGCTAAGAGCATTGCAAATTAGCCTGACATAGTAGAAATGTCCTTAGTCTGATGTGGAAGAAATTTCCTTCATTCCTGAGTTAAAATAAAAGATGGCAAGTAGATCACAAAGATAATTTTTCCATCTCCTGTTTTGGGAGAGGAAAATTCTTTCAGGGGTATCCGACCTTTTGGCGTCTCTGGGCCACACTGGAAGAAGAAGAGTTGTCTTGAGCCACACTTTAAATACACAAATATTAATGAAAACTGATGAAAAAAGAAAGGTTATAGGTAAATTTACAGTTTTGTGTTGGGCTGCATTCATAGCCAGCCTGGGCTGCATGTGGCCTGTGGGTCTCAGGGGTTGGACACCCCTGCAAGCTCGCCCCTCTGGAATGCTGGCCAGCCAGTCACGGCTTTGCCACAAATGCCACAAAGCAAGGCACACACGCACCGTTGTCCTTAGCAAAACAGTATCTGCTTCTTGCAAGGGGCACGGGATGCAGTTGGCCCACACCCTCCACTGGGGCCTCCAGTAGAACACCAGCAGGAGGGCCCCACAGGTCAGCACAGATGCCATAAGGCAGAACGCTCTGCGCAGATTCTGGGTCTTGAAACCAAACACCTCCTGGAGAGAAAAATAAAAGATCACTCTATTTTTCTTTTTCATATAAGCATATAATCTTGCTCCAAGAAATACAGACTTTCGATGCACGGATGTTAAGTAGGAGGAAAATGTAACTTAGGCTGTTTGAATCAGATTGATTGCTTACAGCTGTCAGCTGATAGAATAAAAAAGGGCTCATCTTACTGGCATATGGAACTAAGATATTAGACAGGAGAAGCAAGCAATGGCCAGAATTATTTGCTTCTAAGTACTATTAAGAGTCACCTCTTAATTTTATAAAATACTTCATGCTTTGGACTAGTTCTTTCTTTAAATATGTTTGGGTTTTTTTTTTAAGATTTTATTTATTTAGTTTTAGAGAGAGGGGAAGGGAGGGAGAAAAAGAGGGAGAGAAACATGCAAGAGATACATCGATAGGTTGCCTCTCACATGCCCCCAGTTGGGGACCTGGCCTGCAACCCAGGCTTGTGCCCTGACTGGGAATCAAACCAGTGACCTTTTGATTCACAGGCTGGTGCTAAATCCACTGAGCCACACCAGCCAGGGCTAAATATAAGTTTTTAAAAAATCATTAATATGAATTTACTGGAGGAAGATGATAAAATCATGACAGAATATAATCCACACTTAATATCCAGCTTTATTCAAATTCAGCTTTGCTTAATAATAACATGATTGAGAAGAATTAAAACTATTAATAACTGTACTGCATTCTGAACCAGTGAGGTGATATAAATTAGGAGACTATCTGTGGACATGAAAGACTCAAAAGTCAGCTGAAGTTATTTGCCTGGAGAGTAACAGGCTGAAATAGTTCTACTTTTAATAGTAGGTTAGTTAATATTTGTCATACATTGAATAAAGAGTTAAGATGTGGTTTTAGGGGAAAACAAACAGCAAATATATATATTTATTAAAAAACACAAATAATACATTTGTATTTTAAAAATTAAAAAATAAATTAAAATTTGTTTTATAAATTTCAAGTCAATTTAGAGTTTCTCTCCTCTACAACAAAGACTGACAGCACTTTCTTAATTTCAAAACTAGATTTTTCAGACAATAAAATTGTATTAACCAGAGAACTGGAGATGGGGAATATAAGTGATGATGTCTAAATGCACAAATTTGCAACAAGCAATAAAATAGCCACAGAGATTTAATGAATTTAGACAACAATTTTGTAAAAAAGTATGTAATGTGATAAATCTTGTTACACTGGCAACCATATTCCATTATATAAATATATCAAAGTAACATGCTACACCTTAAATTTACACAATGTTACGTGTCAAATTTTTCCAATAAAAAATCCCTAGAGTTTTAGTGTATTTGGAAGACCCAGAGGGATGCTGATTATGAATGACATCGTTACTATACTGAGTTTAGGTTCAACTATTACTTTTGTGTTTTTTCCCCATGACTCTGAACTGCCAAGTCCAGTTCACTGAGCTTTACTGTCAAGAAAATAGGTTTTCACTGAGTTTCTACAACACTTTGAAACAACGGGATCTTCTGAATTTTATGCCAGTTTAGATCATGTTTTAATAAATGTTTTGGCTTTATTCTTTGGAAAAGTTTTCATCTTCGATATGGTTATTTTCATTATGTTTTTTCTAATAAGCACTCAGTGGTAGATCCAGATTTTAATAACAGTTGTTGAAAGTAATCCCTAAACATAGTGGAGAGGTCACAGGCTTGAAAAGCAAAGATGTAAATTGAGTCACTGGTCTGCTAGTTATCAGTCATGTGACCAGTATTCACCTCTAGGGAATCACAGTTTACTCCTCTGCAGAGAAATTAGAAATATGTGCCTTACAGCATACTTATGCTCAAATGAGATAATGTCTCCTTAAGTGCTTTGCAAAGTAATTACAGTTTTAAGAGTTCCTTTCCACTATTCCTCCACATTCTCACCCAACTGTGGAAAAAACATTAAGTTTAGTAACACAGTACCTGTGTTTTGAGATTATTTGTGTTACGGTTTAAATGTTACTTAGAAAGATGTGTTCACTGTTTTTAAGCATATTTTTGGTTGGCTTCTTATCTTTCTAATTTTCTCTCTGAATCTATAAACCCGTTTTGGTTTTGTTTGTGAATTTTTTATTTATAATTTTATTAGACTCAAATAATATGTATATGCCAGTTTACATATTATGTCAGAAATATTGCTCAGTGATTTATGGGGGCTTACTGTTAAAGCCCAAGTGTGTGAAAAATAGATGCAGAAGAGTTAGGAATTTTAGTCCAGTTTATAGTGGAAATGACATTCATAAATGACTTTCCTTCTTACTGTTTTCTTGCCCACAGCAATCACATTGTTAATTATAACTCTGATTCCTTTTCATTCCTTTTTATACAACTCTTTTTATTAAAAAAGAACTCGAAATTCTAGCAAGGTTGCAATAAAATCACTACAGCTACATACTGCTAATAAGCTTATAAATTAGAATAATTCTTTAGGGAAAGCAAGGTGACAAATTGTATCAAGAATTATAAAGATGTTTCTATTTCTTGAATCAGTAATTCCACCCTTAGAAACATACCCTAAGGAATAATATGTAAAGTAGAAAGTGATAGATATAAAGATGTTTGGTGTAGCCTTATCTGCAACAGTAAAGTAATTGAAAGAATGAAATGATAACTAATGAAGTGGTAAGATGTGAAACATCAAAACAGCAGGCTATTGAGGAGCTATTAAAGGCAAAATGTGTGAAGTCATTGTAGACATGGGACATTCTGCGATATATAATGTTAAGTGAATAAAAAAACAAAGAACAGATAGAACAGATGGAAAACAAATAGCAACATTATGAATTTTAACCTAATTGTATCAGTAATTACATTAAGTGTCAATAGTCTTAACAGTATGATTGAAAAACAAAGATTGTCAGACTAGAAAATAAAATAAGACCCATTAAATTCTGTTAATAAAAGACATACTTTAAAATATAAAGAAGCAGAAGTTAATTAATTAAAAGAAGCAGATAGATTAAAAGGAGAAAAAGGGGGAAATATACCATGCAAAGTCTAAAAAGAGAAAATTGGTACAGCTATATTAACATCAGATAAAATAGACTTTAAGAAATATTATGAGAAAAAGGACATTTCATAAGCTAAAAGATCAACAGACGGACAATAGTCCTAAATTTTTGTTCACCTATAAATGTACTTTCAAAATTTGTAGAGCAAAATTGATAGGCCTTACATCCATTCTCATCATTAGAGATTTTAATATACCTTTCTCACTAACTGATAAGACAAACAGACAAAAAAGATCAGTAAGAATACAGGGAGTTTGAACAACCTCATTATCTAAATTGCCCTAGTTAAAACAGAAAATCACAGGCCCAAACTGCGTGATTCAAATTCTTTTCAAATACACATAAAATATTTAGGTAAATTGACTGCATTATGCAATGCAAAGTATGATGTCATGATAATTACTTTAGAAATTAACAACAGAACAACTTTAAAATTCCCAAATGTTTAGAAATTAAACAACGTATTTCTAAATGACACATGTCAGTCAAATAAGAAATTACAACAAACATTAGAAAATATTTTGAACTGAATGAAAATAAAAACTGCCAATAGATTCCCAAACTGGAAACATCTAAAAGTACCTCAGCAGGAGAAAAATAAATAAATTTTGTGTTTTCCTACAATGGAGTACCATGAAACAATAAAAAGTTTCTGATGCACGCAGCATGAATGAATTTCACAGACATCATTTTGAGTAAATTAACTACCACATAGCAATGTACAATTCTACTTATTTCAAGTTCAAAATGAGCAAAACTGATGACAAAAGTCATTAAGTTGTACACTTAAGATCAGTGAACTTTATTTACATAAATTTATATAAATATACCCACTGTATTTATTTATTGTTTTTCAAATTGTTGATGCTATTACAGATAGATCCCCATTTCCTCCCACTCTTTGCCCAGCTCAGCATATTTACATCAATAACATTTTTAAAAAGTGGAGTGAATTTGTTTATTAGACGTTCTTCAAAGAAACTAGAAGATATTTTAATCATTTTAATGGGATTAGATTGAGGAGGAAAAAAGGGGCTGCATAATATCAGAAATGAAGAGAGAGAGAGACAGAGACAGAGAAAGAGACACAGAGAAAGAGAGAGCACCAGAGAAGTGGTTTCTGGGCGAAGGGGAAGGCTGGTGTCCTGGAAGACTGTGGCTGCCTCCTGGTGTGCTGATTGGGAAGAACTGACTTCCACTGGAGCAGAAGGAAAATCACATCCCTAATAACTGAGGTGGGGAAGGGGTTTTTGAGAATGACACTGCTTATGGCTGCTGACACCTCAATCAAAATGGCAGCAGATTTTTTTTTCCTGTCTGTTACAAAATGAAGTAGAAGTAAGTAAAAAAATAAATAAATAAGAACTTGTCCATGTCAGAGTAGTTTTTAGATACTGGTAGCTCATTGAGTAAAGTGAAGAGAAGCAATATTTTTGCTTCTTTAATAAACTGACCTCATAATCCTTGGTAAAATTCCTTCCTAGACCATTTCTCAATTTTCTCAGAGGTTATGGTGTCAGGTAAGGGACTTGAGGTTTTGGCTAAAAGAATCACTACTTTATCTGACATTCTTTTAACCAAATTCTCTTAATCGGCTGGCCAGTGTTTGTGTGAGTCAATGTTTGCGTGTTCCTACTTTGACTAGTTAATGTCAAGTATAGGTTGATTGTTCTAAATGATTAGTCTTCTGATGCAGTAAGAGTTACTGCTCTTTCTCCTAAATGTTTATATACCCCTGGTAAAATCCACTAAAAAATGTAGAGTCGAGGAGGCAGGCAGAGGTAATATTTATACTGTAAAAGAGGAAGGTAAGTAGGATCCCAAAGTCTTATAAATGTAAAGATACTGGGAATAGGAGTGAGAGGATCAGAATCTCAAACCCACTATACATGGTTTCTTATAGTAAAGTGAGTTTTGTCGCCTATTACCTATGTGACCTCAGGACTTAACTTCTCT